GGTAATGCACTTGGCAAATTGTTGATTTGAGATCTACTACATGTATTTGAGCTCCTTGGAATAGTGCAGTGAGAAATAGTGTTTTTTTTTATAAATTTTATTTTAATGTGTCTTTAAGAATTTGATTCATCTGCGACATTTACTCCTACTCCTAGGTCTGTGTTCTCACTCCAAACAATTACCAGTCTATGCAATAGAACACTTAAGCTTTATCTCTTTTCCTGTTCTAATGGTATAGCTTCCTTTACAATCACAATGGTATCCTGCCTCACTTTTGGACCGACATTGGTACGGTTTCAGCCAATGGTGGGCCTTAATCTTAAGCCTTAATGGTCCATTTCCTTACAAATATTCATCAAACATTTCAACTCTTCCCTTCATTTTCCCTTTCCCTCGCAACTTTTGCATGGTCACTTTTCTCTTTTTCAATTGCCTTGCTCATATCTTGAATTTACTTGCTAATTGTTTTCCAACCAGAAATAAGTTAATATATAAAGCTGAAAGCACCCTTCCATTTTTTTCATTTTCTTTGTTTTTTTTAATTATTTTGATCCCCATCCTCATCTGCAGCCCAATTAGTGGATATCAATCTGACTGAAGAACCCACAGACTTACTATCCTTGAACTCGAGCTATTTGTCTCACTTGCCTTTAACCTAATATGTTCAGACTCTGGAACAACCTTACCGAGGTCCTTCTGCTGAGCTATTGGACACCTATTTTACCGATTCAAATTCTGCCTTTCCATTTTAAGGTGATCCGAGCTGTCCATGAGTGAGCTTTCGCAGCGTGAAGTTCGTGGAGGAGTGTTTTTTCATGGAGATGCTGCCTTTTGATGTTGATTAATTTCATAGTTTTCATGCTGGTTGTGACAGAGGAGCTTGCTGGGCTCATTAAAAATGTCATTACTAAATTTAGATTGCATGGTGTTATGAGTAATTTCAGACCATAAAACATTATATATTTAAGCAAGTGGACCTAAAACCAAAGTTTACTCTTCATCCATTTATTTTTAGTTTCAACTTGTTACCTTGTTGGTAGTTCTTGCTCTAAAAGTATTTGAATATCAACTTCGTTTCCAAGATTTTTGGACTTCCTTTTTTTTATATATATATTTTTTTTTGGGGGGAGGGGGGAGACAGAGAAAGAGAAACATGACATATTTTGTTTTTTCTATTCATATTGGTAATTTTACCATTGTTAGTATTCAAAGTTACATACAAAAGTCTTTGAATCTCAGGTTAAGAATCAAGTTGAAGCAATTTGCTGATCAGTATGCTCTTTCTGAACAGCAACATTCACAGAAGGTAAGTCTTCCTTTGTGGGTGAATCCTCATCATCACTGTTATGTTTACTGTNAAGTTCGTGGAGGAGTGTTTTTTCATGGAGATGCTGCCTTTTGATGTTGATTAATTTCATAGTTTTCATGCTGGTTGTGACAGAGGAGCTTGCTGGGCTCATTAAAAATGTCATTACTAAATTTAGATTGCATGGTGTTATGAGTAATTTCAGACCATAAAACATTATATATTTAAGCAAGTAGNAAAAGTAAATACTTCTATTAGTTGGCTGGCCAGGGACCTTTGTGGTGGTCTTAAAAATGCCGACTTGAGCTGTCATTTCTTGCATTTTCATAATGCTATAGTTGTGCCTCTTTGATAAATGGTAATGCACTTGGCAAATTGTTGATTTGAGATCTACTACATGTATTTGAGCTCCTTGGAATAGTGCAGTGAGAAATAGTGTTTTTTTTTATAAATTTTATTTTAATGTGTCTTTAAGAATTTGATTCATCTGCGACATTTACTCCTACTCCTAGGTCTGTGTTCTCACTCCAAACAATTACCAGTCTATGCAATAGAACACTTAAGCTTTATCTCTTTTCCTGTTCTAATGGTATAGCTTCCTTTACAATCACAATGGTATCCTGCCTCACTTTTGGACCGACATTGGTACGGTTTCAGCCAATGGTGGGCCTTAATCTTAAGCCTTAATGGTCCATTTCCTTACAAATATTCATCAAACATTTCAACTCTTCCCTTCATTTTCCCTTTCCCTCGCAACTTTTGCATGGTCACTTTTCTCTTTTTCAATTGCCTTGCTCATATCTTGAATTTACTTGCTAATTGTTTTCCAACCAGAAATAAGTTAATATATAAAGCTGAAAGCACCCTTCCATTTTTTTCATTTTCTTTGTTTTTTTTAATTATTTTGATCCCCATCCTCATCTGCAGCCCAATTAGTGGATATCAATCTGACTGAAGAACCCACAGACTTACTATCCTTGAACTCGAGCTATTTGTCTCACTTGCCTTTAACCTAATATGTTCAGACTCTGGAACAACCTTACCGAGGTCCTTCTGCTGAGCTATTGGACACCTATTTTACCGATTCAAATTCTGCCTTTCCATTTTAAGGTGATCCGAGCTGTCCATGAGTGAGCTTTCGCAGCGTGAAGTTCGTGGAGGAGTGTTTTTTCATGGAGATGCTGCCTTTTGATGTTGATTAATTTCATAGTTTTCATGCTGGTTGTGACAGAGGAGCTTGCTGGGCTCATTAAAAATGTCATTACTAAATTTAGATTGCATGGTGTTATGAGTAATTTCAGACCATAAAACATTATATATTTAAGCAAGTAGACCTAAAACCAAAGTTTACTCTTCATCCATTTATTTTTAGTTTCAACTTGTTACCTTGTTGGTAGTTCTTGCTCTAAAAGTATTTGAATATCAACTTCGTTTCCAAGATTTTTGGACTTCCTTTTTTTTATATATATATTTTTTTTTGGGGGGAGGGGGGAGACAGAGAAAGAGAAACATGACATATTTTGTTTTTTCTATTCATATTGGTAATTTTACCATTGTTAGTATTCAAAGTTACATACAAAAGTCTTTGAATCTCAGGTTAAGAATCAAGTTGAAGCAATTTGCTGATCAGTATGCTCTTTCTGAACAGCAACATTCACAGAAGGTAAGTCTTCCTTTGTGGGTGAATCCTCATCATCACTGTTATGTTTACTGTTTTTTTTCTTCTCATGGTCGGTAACTTCTCTGTGCAGTTGAAGCAGAAAACGTTGGAACTTCAAATTGCCGAATTGAAAATACAGCAGCATGAGGAGAAGTTAATCCAGGAACAGTCGCAAATGAAATTGTATGCAGAGCAAGTCTCACAATTATTGGCAACTGAAAAGAATTTGCGGTTGCAGTTGACGGCTGATGGAGAAAAGTTTCAGCAATTCCAGGTTAACTCATTTCCCTGTTATAGGTTGCCTTAAGAAATTTTAAGAATATTCTGATTTCTAAATTCGGAAAGATACTAGCATAAATTGACTTCCTTTCAGAAAGTTATACATATAAACTTTATGATGCATAAGTGATATAACCATGAACAAATGAGCTCCAGTGATATTCTGGTGCAGACTTTGAAACTCGTGGTGTTGACAAAACCATGGAAGAGTGATATTTTGGTGCATATGAACATTTGAGATCATATCAGGGAAAAAAAAAATTTGTAGACACCTTTTGGACATGATAAAATAATAGCCTTGTGTTTTTTTCATCCTAATGAGCATTATGTTTATACTCAGGTTAACAGACTTATGCTCTATTGCTATGAAAGATTCAGATACTATTCAAGTAAATTTGGTGTTCTGTTTCTTTTTCAGGCTTTGTTCTGTCTTTGAATTTTCCAAAACCAAAACAAAGAAGCCAAATGTTTTGAAAACTCCCACCAGACATTAAGCTGTCCTCAAAGCTGTTTATTGAACACAGAGGAAAGGTTTCTGGATCTGGAGTGCCTTATCTTGGTGGTTGAACAGTAGCCCCTTAGAACTAGTTAAGAGTACCTCTCCCTCTTTTCTTTGAATACAAGAAACATTGAAGGTGAAGAATGGGAGAATATGTAGGTCTGGATCCTTTTTTTTTTTCCCACACACTTGTGGCTGGGTGAGATGGAGTACCATTAGCATCTGCTTCTTGAAACTGAGTTCTTCGGAGTTTATTCTTTACACTTTGCATAGAAGACACCTCTTTGGCACAAAAGTATGAGTGGCCCACCAATAATAGCAGGCAGCGAGATGGTAGCAGACGTAAGTTGCCTCTATTTCTTTTCCTTCTGTGCCCCCGGGTTTCTGATTCCTACGGGAAGTATCTGACCAGTTCAATCAAATCAATAGTAGGATTCAATTTTCCACCGATGTTGCTTCTTGACCAAGGAATTGAGGCGATTTATGTATTGTTAAGTTGACTCTTGGCTGTTGGATCAGTCTAAATATAAGATTTGTGGTTAGTCAGCTGCCATGAGAGTTTCTTTCGAAAACCTTAAATATAATTTTTCAATAAGATACAACATTCCAAGTCGCCAAGCTTTTCAGCTTCTTCTAATACAAAATAAAGGAATAGCTTGAAACTCATTGGATATTGATGCCAAAAAATAAAGTCATTCCTAGAGACCACCCTCAAAATCTTCACATTTATCTTCAAAAATACTTGCATTCATTTCCTTCCAAATCATCCATAGTGTAGCAAAGAAGGCACTATGCCAAATGGTCTTCCATTTAATATTTCTCCCAAAACCCACGTCTTCCAAACAAAACATAGATGCCATATTCCTTGGAGCAATCCCCGGGATTCCCATAAAGTCTAAAAGCTTGTTACATAATGCTCACGCCAAAGGACAATGCAAAAATTAGAGCAACTCCAAGGGGAGTTGCTATTTTTGGGGTGCCAAATGTCATTTTGCAACCTTGAACAGTCTTTTGGCACCCCTGATTTTTAAATTTGCTCCAATGATAGGTGCCAAAATGGGGTGCCATTTTAATATTTTTAGTATTTTCAATTCCAATTTCAATTTCAAGTTGTCTTTTTAATTCTAATTTCAATTTCAATTTCAATTTCAAGTTGTATTTTCAATACATAATTTTTCATAAATGATAGCAATACAAAAAAATTCATAGTGTAATATGACAATACAAAAAAATTAATGGTGTAATATGGCAATACAAAAAAATTTAATGATGTAATATGTAATATGAAAAAAAATTTAGGGTACAAAGTATCATTTGTTCTAAAATAAATAGTAGTCTGGAACGATCAAAGATAAACCCTTCCCTTTCCCTTTTTCCCAGCGATTCAGACTCTGCCCCCTTTCCCTTCCCCTGCGATTCCGTTTCCAGGCAAGCAGTAGACACCAACAATTTTCAAGCAAGCCTCCTTTCCCTTTCCTTCTCTCTGTATTTCCAACCGTTTTTTTGCAACCTCTGCTTTCTCTCTCCAGAGTTTGCAAATTTGCCACCCCAAGTCCATAAGTGTCATTTTGTAACCTTTGATGCCACCCCCCTTGGAGTGAAGATTTTTGATTTTGGGGTGGCATTTTGGCAGTTAGGGGTTTGCCACCCTTGATGGCACTTGCCGTTGGAGTTGCTCTTAGGGATCCACCTTCTCACTATCGTCTCTACACACGATCATTGTGGTTAAAAACAAAAATTTGGTCTTCTCTTTTGAAGAATCTAATTTGTACTAATCTTAGCATGAAAAATTATCCATGCACAAACTTGCATCTTTAAAGACACTTTCACCCTCTATATCTTCAATGATAGATAGAATAATGGAAGTGAACGATTAACAATTAGAGATTCAAAAAACGATTTACAAGAAAAGACCCTTTATGAATTACTTATCCAACACCTTCTACCTATAGAATTTTGAACCAAAGTGACATTATTAAGCATCGAGAGAAAAAACGTCTACTCCAAACATTCCCTATAATTAAGGTTCCTATGAAATTCAAAATCCCAAGAGATTGAATTAGCATATGAACAAACCATAAATGCAACCAAAGTATAGTGATAACTAGAAACATACTACAATAGTGGAAAGAGACCAGCAGAAGAAGACTCCCCAACCCATATGTCCTCTAAAAAATGCACCCAATTTTCATCTCCTACAATGAATTTGACCCTCAGAAAAACAAGGGAGCCCTTGAGAGATGAAAATCCAAGGACTCCGAGAAGTACCTTTTTCAAGCCCATTAGTATCGCACCCATTGGCCTATAATTCATACTTACTTCTAATAACGGCATGCCACAATGAATCTTTGTACGAGGGGAACCTCCATATCCATTTTCCAACTAGTGTTATATTTCTTTTCGCAAAATTTCCCACTGATAACCCCCTCTTCTCTTGTAGTCTAGTTGTCATCTCCCATCTAATCAAATGGTCCTTCCTACCCTTTCCATAAAAAAATCCTTATTAAACCTTCAATTTTTCTAGTCACCCCACCAAACATTTTAAAAAGAGACATGAATTAAATTGGAATACTAGACAAAACTGATTGAATCAAAGGTTAATCTAACCCTTTTTAGAAATAAAAGATTTCTTTCAACATTCTAATCTCTTATTTACATTCTTTCTTTACCATTTCAGGATGCCATGGCTAACCTATTTAGGTTTGTTTGGAGTTTTAAATAGGGTGATAAAGAACCATTTCAAGCTTCATGGTGGAATAGATTTTGAAATTGATTGAAATTGATTGCATCCTAGTTGTGAAGCCTGGGTCTTTTTGGAGGTCAAGTGCCTTGTCATGGCCATAACTCGCAGTTACTCTTATCTGGATTGCTTCGCTGAGGGTTAAATTTCTTGAATACATAAATTCCTTTTGAGAAATATACTGGTTGAAAACTTTGATATATTATGAAGCATAGCACATGACCTCATCTTTTTAACCAAATGACGGCGATCCTTGTGCACATAGGTGCGTTAAATCGTATACGTAATATCAATCTATTTTTCAGGGCATTAAGAAACTAGTAAATAAAAATTTCATAAACCACACACACGGGGGACTGGGTGGTAATTTCCGTAAACAACACACATAGGGGACTGGGAACTAGGAAACTCAAATCTTCGACCAATTGCAAATTGAGATAGCCCTGCAATCACAGAGCTATCTCATGCTTTTCAGTCATTGTGTAGTACTAATCTAAAACCTAAATTACTATCAACTTCTATACTTGATTTGGACGTGTTGAAGTGGTAGCAATAGAAGAGAAGGGGAATGTGGGGACGCGGATAATCAACTAATTTCATTGTTGATTTAAAATGTTAGTATGATAAACTGGTGGAAACTCTGCTGAGCTCACATAGGTTCCTTACCTCTCCTTCACAAACTTCTCCACCCACCCGTCCACTATTTCAGCACCATTCCTCCTCCGTCTTGCAGAACATCGATAATCAAATGCAAACCCTCGATATCAACTCCAAAATTGGAAGCGGCATTATCAGTGATGTGAATCAAAACCCTAATCCATAACATTGAGTTGAGACTAGGCCAAGGAGACAAGTTAGTCTGAGCTGCTGGTACTTCAACCAGGATCTTGACAGTGCCAACAATGTCGTCTAGGTTCTGTGAAGTGAAATTGCCCTTCGGAGTGAAGAAATTGATCGATACCAAGTGAGCTATGATTGGGCAAGAATGGAACCCAGAACATAGGATGAAAAAGATGAGAAAAACATCCTATCAAAAAAAAAAAGAGATGAGAAAAACGCAGAAGAGTAGGTGGCTTGGGAGAAGGCCTATGATGAGATATGTGGCAAGGTGGGAAGGGAGGAGTTAGAGTAGTGGAAGTCATGGTCGATCTTCGTTGGCTTCCATGGGGGAAGCCGTTGACGAGTGGGTATAAGACTGGGCCGCTTGAGCGTAAAAGTTAGTTTGCACTTTTCATTTAACATGCTTAATTCTATTGTGGTTGAATAGTTGGGGTTTTATTGAGGATTATTGAGTTACGATTGTCAAAATATTCTTGCTCGTTGTCTGTGTTTTTGTTCAGGATTTAACATGTTACACATGATATAAACTTTGTTAATAAAAAAAAATGATAAAATGGTAGGAAAAAGGAGGGGGGAGAGAGAGAGAAAGAGATCTTGATATTTTTAGACTTTACAACTAAACTAACTGATACACAATCACGCACACATATTTGATTCATGATTTTTGCAATATGCCCAGAACTGAGTGTAAATGTGCAAGTAGTTTTTGACTTTTTACTCCATGCATTGGAGCATACATCTTGGCGAGATCCGACCAATAATATGCTTGTTGAGCAGCAGTTGTTTCCCTAGAGGTGGCCCAACATGAATGGAGGCTCTTGGCAAAAATCTTAAATGGGGCCTACTCGATATTGGGTTTAATATAAATAATAATCAAAATATTTTATGTAATTTTTCTTTTCTTTTTTAAATGCAAAAATGTTAATTAAATTTTCATCCAAATAACACCATTAACACAATCAACTTCAAAGGCCAAATGTGAGTAACTGTGTTATTCGGTGAAAACATAAAGAAAAAATGAAGCAGCTTCTACGACGATTGATAGATGACACTATAATGAAAAAACGTCAGCAGTGATTTCGAATTCTTATAAGGTTTGAATACATAGGAGAACGGTGTCGTAGTGTACTTAACTCCGGTAGTCTTTCTTCCAAGGAGTATACATGATGTTCTTTTATCCATCTGTGTGATGAATACAATTGCCAATGAGAAAATCTTTGTTGGATCCAAAATGTTCTACTGGACTTCTCAGATTTATAGGTGTCTGAAGCAGTTGGAGTTGGAAATCGGGAGAAATGAACTCTTCTAAGGCATTCCAATCTATGTTCTGGTGATCTCTACCCTTAACCCCAACCTAATCGCAACGATTGATCTAGAGCCTCGAATTCAAGCTAAAAGGAGAATTTATAATTCATAACAATTAGGTGATAAACAATCAATCACCCAGTTGATTTGATAATGATATCAAAAGTGCATGACATCTCAAATTAATCTTGATAAGAAACCATATGCAAAGCTAAAAAACAATTTAATGTGAGAAAAATATTATGCATTGTAGTTAAAGAGTACAAGAGTAATTGTACTTAATACATGGATTGCAACGAATCCATAAGGTCTTCATAGGGTGTTTTAAAGAAAAAAAAATAGAATAACAGGGCTTGCCATGTGAGAGAAGAGAGAACGGCATCCCAATACATTCCTTTTCATATATGCGTTGGGAATTAGAATAAATTGTTTTATACTAAATGAAAAGTTGGATAAGAGCAAAACAAAATTGGATTAAACTTGGGGGCCTATAAACGAACAACAACAACAACAACAAAGAAACTTAGGGACCTAAACATTTTATTCTGGGGCCTTAAATAATTTTCATATTTGAAGGGCCCTAGGCGGCCACCTAAGTAGCCTAGGCCTAGGGCCCGGCCACGAGTCTCATTTACCTGTATTTCAACCATCCTATATCATGAAACTTCATGTCTTTATGTAATGACTAATGAGCACTGTTGGGTTCTCGTATCCTTATATTTTATGTAGAAGATTTGCAAAATTTACAAATACTTTATGGCATTTGTAGATTGGCTTTCCTTCTACTATGCATGCTGGACCTTATATGCTAATCTTTGCAGGAGGCTTTGTTAAAGAGCAATGAGGTCTTCGAAACATTTAAGCAAGAGATTGATAAGGTGCACATTTATATATTTATGTTGAATATTCCTATCTTTTCTGGACCCAATAGCTTCGTGTGTTATATTCGAGTTTATCGCTGTGATTCAGTTGTTTGACGTAACTCATCATTCTGGTTGATATGTATGTGACCTAGATGGCAAAATCAAAAAAGGAACTCAAAAAGGAAAATTCCTTCTTGAAGAGTAAAAGTGAGAAATCAGACATTACTCTCATAGAATTGGTCGAGGAGGTAAGGTTTTGCTTGTATTTTGTGTGCCACTTTATCTTTGTGTTTTCTAAATCTCCTCCAGAAGAGTATATAGTGCTCTTGCTGCCCTTTACCATGCATGATCTATTACTTCTCTTTCTGATCATTGAGCAACGTCATGTGAGAATTCCTCCCTTTGCCATCGCCGTTTATTGCAAATGTGATCCTTCTGCATTCTAACTCTTGTATAACACAAAATTTTGCTTTATATGAGATTTTGCCACAATAGTGGAAGCATCTTGATAAGTATGTCAACAAAATACCTTTGATTGGTACAGAAAACCTCCTTGCTTTTTGATTATGTTAGAGTTGAGGTTCTGATACCTAGGATATTTTTGTAGCATTCCAGCTTTTGAACTTTAAGATGGTCTTCCTAGCATTATGTACTATTTCTTCTTTTCAAGAGGGTATTTGCTAAAACAATTAAAAATCAAGTATGCTGAATGTAGAATAATGCTTCAAAGACGTGTTCACTAATAGGTGAATAAACATAAAGGTAGAAGATGACATGATGCGGCCCTTTTTGGCAGAGTTTTGTGCAGGTGGGATGTTCACGGTTGCTTGATGGAGTCATCTGATCTTTATCCACCTATCAAAGCATTTTGATTAGAGTAGCAGTGAATCTATTGAAACTTGTTGAAAATGAATTACCTTGGATATTGCTCATGCTTTTTACTATATACATGCAACTTCTCTTGGGAACTGTTTAGTTGTATTTCTGACAAAAAATATGGAATTAACATCTCCATTGGCTGAGCAGCGTGAACACTTAAAGAAACAACTGGAGAAAACAAAGAATCAGAAAGAAAAGCTTGAATCATTATGCCGGTCACTTCAAGGCGAGCGAAAGCAAAATTCAGCTGGGACAAGTAGCTCCGATTCAGCTCTGGTTTGATTGTATTCCAAAAGTAATCTGGACAGTTTTAACCCTATTAAAGGACTTTTGTGAGGTTTGGGGGACTCCATTCTCATTTTCCAGCATGCTTCGTGCTTCACCTGTGGCTTTCCTGGAGTTGTCAAGAGGATTCACTGAAGATCATGTAACACCACACTGAATCATATTTATATGCATTTGATTGGCATTGCTATACCCTGTCCTTCCATTCTGTGTAAATTCCAAACTAAGGTTTTTATTGTTGATTTGTTCCTTCAAAATGGCGTGAACAATCTTTTTGATAGTCTACTTGTGCACTCCAAGTATGGCAAACCATACTTCAATGAACCTGCAAAAAACAGAGGTCAGAGGTTCATTTTGTTTTTGAATTTTCCATTAGTAAGATGATGATTCACTATTTGTGCAGTGTGTTTTGTAATCGATTTTCTCTAGTGTTGCTTGGGGAGCACACGACTTCATCTCCTTTAGTAAGTGAATGTTTTACTTGTTTTTCACTTTGTTGATATCCAAACTGCAGGATCTGATTTGAGAAATCAATTTGCATGGTACCTCCAAAAGATTGCTGGATTTGCAGAGAATAATAGAGTAGATGTCTTAAATGTTGTGACTTGTGACAGGCCACCACCAGGAAAATTACATCCAGAGCTTTTACAGGTTACTTGGCCAGAGTGTGAGAAGGACAGAAGCTGGCACCGCCACTGCCAGGCACCGGGGGAGGAGGAGAAGGGGTGTTTGAGGGTACCCTGACTGGGTGAACATATAATTCCCTTATGTGCATCTAAGGGATGGGCTGGTAATGCAAGTTTAGACCTGCGCCTGTTTGTCATCATTACTAAAATTTGAATTCAACGAGGGTGCATAGGAAGCACAGAGCTGAGCAGAGTATCAGACTCTTTGTGCTCGACTTGTTCTTCCACGAAGAGTCATTGGGCACTATTTGGGATCATTTCAAAGTTCAAACATTTATAAGCTTGATTCGCCAATTTTTTGTTCTAAACTGGGTTTGATTTTACCTGACTAGGTAACCGTTGAAGTTTTTTTTTAAGCTTAAACTTGAGTTCAAGACAAGTTTGGCTCGTTTATATATTATATATAATATTATAACAATGTGTGTAAAAATCTATACTATTTTATATATATGTTCGGGAGGGGGACTTTGCAATTGAGCTTGAGTTTTGTATATTTGATTGATTCAAAGGGCAATAGTGGTATGTAAGAAATATGGGTTACACCAGAATGAGAGCTTGAGGAAAATTGGGTTATGACTTATGAGTAACCTGAACTTGTAACAAGTCAAGGTCTCGATTTTTTTTTCTTTTTTTTTGTTAAAAAAAAAAAACTACCAATATTAGATCACTTATCTTAAATTTTAAAATTTTATAGTATCGAAGCGAGACTAGGGGTGTAAATGGGGACGAGTTATTCTGGTTCGGTTTAAATAAAACGCGGTTCGAGTTTGATTCGTGTTCTAAACGAACAAAGTTTGAACAATTATTTAGGTTTATTTAGAAAAGTCTCGGCTCAAGTTTGTAAGGTTCAGCTAATTTATATGTAAAATAGTCGAGTTATTCAGGTTCGATTTAGGTTCGCCTTGGCTCGAGCTCGACTCATTTTTTAAACAAACCGAGCTAAAACAATTTTTGAAGCTCCTTTAAAAAGAACAAGTTTTACAGGTTTGGACTCGGACTCAACTTATTTTCTAAGCAAGCCGCGTTTGAATAATTTTTTAGACTCTTTTAGAAAAGTAAGCTCAATAACAACTTGATTAATATCCTTTAGTGGGACCCTATTAATATTTGATTGATTATATATCAACTATAGATTAATTAAAAATTAATGTTGACACATACCCATATTTTGAGGTACCTTATAAAATCCTTCATCCCTAATTATAGCATAAACTATTGATTTAGTCACTTTTCAATATGTTTTCTTTTTATTTTTCGAATGAGAGATTGTTAATCATGACTTAGAAATATGATGTTACACACATACACTCCACAGATAATTTAGAAAAATTGAAAGAAAATTCATGAAAAAATTAAATAAAAATGTATCGAAGAGATTTAGATCCATCAACGGTGGTGGGTGTACGTGGCCCACATCTCAATTCAATACACCGTATATATGCACAATGATCTCTCGGTTCGTTCGTTACAGAGATTCGTGAAAACCCGCTTCTTTCCGTTTCCTTAGCTTCCTCACCTCTCTCTTTCTCTCAGTCTCTCTCTCTGCACCACATTACTCATGGGAGACCCAAATTCCACCGCCAATACCAATGCTGCCACCTCCACCACCATCAACTGTGGCGACAGTAGTCCCTTGGAGACGAGCAAATCAGAGAGACACGTATGGCTGATGAAGTGCCCTCCGGTGGTGTCTCGCTCCTTGAAGCAATCTCCTTCCTATGATGACTCTTCTTCCTCTGGTGGGCCCGTCGCCAAGGTCATTGTCGCCGTCGACCCTCTCCTCCCCAATGACAACTTCAATTCTACTCAGGTCCGTACAACCATACCCATACACGTTTTCTCTCTCTGCCTTTGTGTACGATTTCTAGGGTTTAATCGTTTTCTTTGTTTGTTCTTGCATGCACTCGCTTACGAGGTTTAATTTATATTGTACGTATAGGGCTGAAAATAGGTTGTGTCGAGTTCGTATTGACGTTGTGTTATGTCAAAATTTATGCAATTCAAGCCTGATCCATTTGTATTCATGTATAACCGAGTTTGTGTCCTGTATAAGCTGTGCATAGTATATTTAGTCTGTCAACCAATTTACTACTTGTTTATCATCCACTAAGATTCAACCCAAACCTGCTAATTTCGTGTCCAATCGTGGATCATGTCTAAAATTGTCAGGTATATTTTTGGCATCAAGAGGTTTAGCCGTAATGTGTTTTGGATGCATGGAAATGGTTGTGGATGATTTTGGAATGTTCTGATTGTTAATTGTATTTTGATTGTTGCGCAAAAATGCTATATGGAGATATATATTTGTGAATTTTAAGTCAAAATGAGGAGCTTAGGTTCATGGACATTGAGAGCAATGTTATCTGAAATTTTAAAACGTTACACCTTACAATCTTGCAGTAAATTTTAAATTCTTATAATGTTTCGATATTTTTTTAGAGTTAGTTATTTTAGGATGTCATGGCAATTACGATTATCGAACACAATTTTAAAAGTACACTAATGGCAGGTCCGTGCATTAGAAATTTGCACACATTCTCTTCCTCTTCCTTTTTTTTCTATTGTCATCATACCATTTGAAAAGCTACATAGAAAATAATAAAAATTAGGGTGATAAAATAATTATGAAAAGTTGGGGTGGTAAAACTATATTTTAAAAAAAAATTTTAATTAGTGAGTGATTTTTTAAATTTAAAAAACTTTAAATGTGTGGTAGTTAATTAGTGGGATAGAGGGGCAGTTAAATAAGCCATGTGTTGTTATAATTGGTTAAAATCATGTGTGATATTTAAATAATTGAAAATTCTAAGATCTAAGAAAAAAGAAAAGTGGGAGGGAGGGCTTCTCAAGCCACCTCCCACCTAATTTGATTGCTTTATATATACAGCATAGATACGACATCTATCTATACTATTAATAAAGGGACATGAGGGGTTTGGTGTCCTTTAATTGCTTATTACTATTAACTTTTATTTTACAGTTACTTTCTCATGTAAAACTTTCAACTCCATGACTCTCTTCCCACTCAACTACAATCAAGTGCCCTTAACCACCCATAACTCTCATTACTAACACGATTTATCTATTATAATTTCTTCCCTCTTTTTCTCCTCCTTCCTATTTGCACTTGGGTACCGTGTGTGCACAACCCCTAGTCCAAAATAGTTGGTAGCTCCCCGGGTGCCATCTAGGACAAGTTTTATGTCAGACAAAAGTTCACAGTGGAAATATTCAGTATTCAGAGCTTTCTGGCTTTGTGTTGAGATTTGTGTTGTGGAATTTCATCATTTAGTAGGCTGTCTCTTGCTTGAATTGTCTGGAGGTGGTAAATCTTCGGTGATTATACGTGTTTATATACTGCCTGTATTAGTTCAGCATTTAATATCTTGTGTGTATATGCAATACTCCACCTGTTCCTTGCGCCACTACTTTTGTTTCTTTTCTCATTATAGTAATATATGAAACTTTTGTCGCCTATGCTATTTTTCTAACCTCCAAGGAAAGAATTTACTTTTTTTTAATTGAATACGTTCCTGATATATTTGTCAATCTTTCAGGTCAAGGACACGCAATGGAGTTTTCTCTTTGCATACCAGTGCTCTTTACTGTCAATAATTTTTCTTCCAACTTCTAATACATTGTTTAAATGATGATCAGTTTACCATGGAATTGGCTGACCCTGAATCCGGAAATGTACCGAAATGTTACTCTATGGACATGTCTACAGATTTCATTCCAATGTCTGTGTTTTCAGAGTCATCGCAAGGTAAGTGTGCATCTTCTATGCCCCTCTTCCAATGACATGACTAGTTTATTCCATTATAGGTAAGTCTCATGGTCACTTTCTTAAGGTTAGTGCTAATGTAATCCACCTCCATATTTGCTCTCCTCATTTCTTTAAACTGGAAGTCTGGAACTTGTTATTGTTTTCTAAGCTTAACAATTTGGTTGGAGAATGTTTCTGCTATTTCATCCTACTGCTAATTTTTTCAGTTTTGTCAAATTGTTATTCTTAACCTCAGAAGAGTGGAAAATTTTGTTTGGCCATAGTAACCCCCCTATTTTTAAATCTTAATTAAATCTAAAATAAAGCTTCTGTTTTAGAAACTCCATAATGTTTTTATGTTTAATCCAACTTATCCAAGTCTGTAATCTAATTATGTATGATAAACAAATAAAACGCAAAAGCTACTTTTGGACATTGCTGAGATGTTCACATTTAGAAAAAAATGCCTTTTGTTCTAATGTTTTGTGCATACTTTTCATAATCATTGAGAATTTGAGAGATCTATGAGATCATAATAAGATCTGGATATAAATGTATTCAGGAGATGTTTGTTTACTGATTTGTTTTACTCATTTATGACTGTATTTTAGATTATTCACCCTAGGTGGGTGGTTTTTCCCCTCTTTTTTGGGGTGGGACTTTCTTGTTTGGCAATGTCCACTGACATCGCTGACATTTCTTTTCTGTAGGAAGGCTCTCTGTGGAAGGGAAAATTTATAACAAATTCGACATGAAGCCTCATAATAAAAACATTGAGGAGTATAGAAAACTCTGTCGGGAAAGGACAAACAAATATATGACTAAAACCAGACACATACAGGTCTCCTTTTCATTTGTTGTATGTTCTATGTTTATTATTTGGGATCTAGTCTCTTTTCTTCCCCTGGTTTCTTAGGATCTCATTTTCAGGTGATTGACAATGATAATGGAAGGCATATGAGGCCTATGCCCGGAATGTTTGGTTTTAAGGCGTCTGGATCTGGAACTGGTGTACCTATAGTTATGGTCTTTTCCATATTATTTCGTATGTTTGTCTGTGGCAGTGAGTTTATCCTGCCAAATGTACTCACATTATTGACTATCTGACATAACATAAAAAATTTGCTTTTCTTTGAACAGGATAAGAAGAAGATGCCGGTGAAGGGTTCAGACATGAAAAGAACACGAAGGGACCGTGACGAGATGGAAGGGATTATGTTTAAGCTCTTTGAGAGGCAGTCAAATTGGACTCTGAAACAATTGATCCATGAGACAGACCAACCTGAAGTATGTCCTTTGGATACTTGTCCCACACCCCCGTGTTTGTCTGCAAATCTTTTAAGTGTCCGTAAATTTACCTTTAATACTATTTAGCAAAAGCTTTTATATGCCTATGCCAAGTATTTCAGGAAACTGCAGTCTTTCCATCTTCAGACCCCCTTGTTTTACATACTCTATCATCTATCTGCCCGTTTGAATAGTTTATTTCTGCTGTCATCTTACTCAGAGAATAATTATTTAAATAGTTTAAGCTTCCTTTCACAAAACGATTGTTATGTCGTTAATTCTCGTGGTTATCTAAACATTTCAAGAACCATTTGGGTTTGTGCTTCTTAGTCGGCTTAATAAGCATTAGTTGGTAATATTTTGTTGTTAGTTTTGTCTTGCCATTGTACCAACTAGCGTTCGATCATTAACCCTTGTTTGATCAAATGGGAATCAACTTTTTGGATATTCTTTTGCTATATATTGCCTTCTAAGTTCTTATGGAATTTACTATTTGCATTAGATACAGGGAATTAGTAATCATTATCATTGACCTTCTGCTGAAGGTGTATTATTGATTTTTTAGTAATGCTTTTATTGGTTTTTGTTGTGCATGGCCTTACTATCGGTTCCTCTTTTCTATGATAGCTGACCTTTTACTTCCAATATGCTCTTACTGCAAAATACTTAGGAATTGACATGAGATTGATTGTTTTAAAACACAGACGATTCTTTTTTGAACCTTAAGGACAGGGTCGAAGCTAGACTTTTTGGGTTGTGGGGGCAACCTAAAACTCAGCAATAACTTGTAATATTATTAACGTCAATTTTGCAATCATAATAATTAATACTACTGTTTAAATATTTTATTTCATTACCAATTAGGAGTGCAATCCATATAGATAAGCAATGAACAAAAATAAGATAAAAAAAACTCACTGTAAAATTATATGCAATTGCCAAGTCAAAATCACAGTTCAAAAAAAAAAAAGAAAGAGATTATTAAGGAGCATCTAAATAATTCATTTTGCATAATCCAACTCCTTTATGTCCTCACCATCCAATTTTTAAAGATCAATTATTGTACATAATATTTCCAAGAGATTGATATACAATCAATTGAATCATTATATATTGATTCAAATTTGATTCATCAAAGTTCTATCATCCGCTAAAAAATGAGTAGCAAAATAAATGCACCAAAAAAAAAAAAAATCACCACTTAGCTTTTTAATTCTGAAGAACTATAAATAGTTTCTTAAATTATCTAAATAAAAAAAATTGATTCCCATGAGAAAAAGAGATTGAGTTTGATTCAAATTAGACTTGTGTTGGCGGATCCCTTAATATGGCCATCCATTCAAATTTGTTCATAGTTGAATATTTTTTTTTGCAGAACACTTTACTTTAGCTCTTTAGTTCCAATCCTATAAGTGTCGACTTAAACCTACAAGTGGAGTTAAAATTCTATCACAGACAAAAGGTGGCAGTCGTTCCTGACTAAAGAAATCCATGCATTCTTTAAAATGCAAGATTACTCCTGAACTTTTAGATTATTGCAATAGGGACAGTGCCCTAAATTTTTTGGAATTCTACATACACCCTAAATGTTTTTATAATTACACCGTGATTCGTCCCTGCTTAAGAAAAAGTGAACAATAGGAATTTGGGAAAGAATTTTTTTAGAGGATATGAACCGCCTCATCCTTTTCAGTTTTTTTTTTCCTTTCATCATCTATAGTGCTACCTATATTTTTCTTTGATTGCTATTTCGACTCTTCCCGTTTCATCTCTAGATTCTAACTCTAACGATGCTCATTCTGTGCAGTTTTTCTATAGTTACTTGCGCATATTACTCCTATAGTTTTGCTTCTTTTAAGCAGGTCTTGTAAATTCCACCATTGATAAGAATTCAGGACAAAAAAAATGGCAAATCACTCTACTTCCTATGTGATCTTGCATTTGCTAAATTACATCCCTGATCCTAGGTCCACATAAAGGTCATATGTGTTTGATGCTATAAAGGACAAATACTCTATCAAGGTCGACGTATTCATATTGGATACATATTCGTTGGCTACTTGAAAATAAAAATTGGATATGCGTCATACTACCTATAATAGATAATATATGTGGATACTTTGCTCACACACACACACATATAATTTTTAATTTTAATCTTTATCCCCTCCTTTCGCATACACATACAACACAATACATCAACAAAAATCCATGTGACTTTAAAGACATATGGGTGTTTCTTAGGTATTATTTACTATCACAAGTCGAAAGGCTATAAATGACTATAATCTTAGCAAATAAATACTTCCAAGCAAACCAACTAGTTAAATATTAGTTCTGATTCCTTTAATTAATCATGTTCACTTTGTAGATATACATAATAAAACGATATATGCATTTTTGAAAGTAAAAATTGTAAATTTTTCTTATTGTTATTAATGAATTAATAAAAGTTATAACAATCAAGTCTGTAGATAATAGTAAAAGAAGCATAATTCATTATATACATATCGTGACTATATATGTATGCTACTTTTATATGTTTTTCTATATCATTTTCCAAAAAAAGAAAACGTTTTGTTGTATCGCTATATCTGTATCGTATCGAACCCGTATCCCGTATCCAATCAGTGCTTCCTTGGTCGGATAACAAGGGTGCAAGTCCAGTATTTAGGTCATTTTTTAGTCATTTCATAGTTAATTGAATCCGAACTTGCGTCTAAATAAATAATCTTTTTGAATAATTGGATGGAGAGAGATTTATGAACTGACAATGTGTGTCAAGAATTGCAACTTATCTTCAACAATGGAAGGTTTGCTCGATTATTGGCCTTGTTAACCAAGATGTCTTGCTTTTTTGACATATTAAGATTATCCAAAGAAGCATAAACTCCTTCATTGGTACATCCAAGAGCCTGTATTTGATATTGTTCTCTGCCGACATCAAGGTATGCAAAAGAAACATCTTTGCAAGGAATTTTACAATCTACTTAACAGAACTTTTTTTGCAATTGCTTTTTCTTTCATGGTTGTACTTTTGGACTTGTTTTACTTAGATTGTCATTGTCCTGTGAGATTTGATCTCAAATCTGTATATTATCTCCTGCCTTGCATTGTTACTCTGGAATGTTTGGTTTGAACTTTTGCGTTATCTTCTGTCGTATAGTCCATTTATAAGAGTTGATATTGTCTCTGATATAGCATATCAGCTAAACCTGTAGCTTGATGGTTACCCAGTCGCAAAGGTTTTTGAGGATTTTGAACAAATGCTTGACAGGATTGATTGTGTTGTTGATGTTTTTTATCACTTTTGTTCTCTCGAAAGTTGAATCTCATATGAACCTTTTTGATTGATAGTATTTGTGCTGAGTGTTTGGTACTCCTTGAGATGACTTGTAAAGCATTCAATCCACCATTTTTTCTTTTTCTTTTCCAAAGTTTCTGGGCGGGGATAAGGAGGCCACCGTCCAGATCTTTGTGATCCATCTGTGATGCTATAAGGAATATCTGCCATTGGCATTTTTTCTCAATATGTCGCTATTTATTTATTTTTTGGTCGAGTTTAACTGTTAATGAGTTCGAAGGATTTTGGTACTCACCTTGTTTCTTTGCAGCAATTTCTGAAAGATATACTGAAAGTCCTATGTGTCTACAATAACAAAGGAGCCAATCAAGGAACATATGAGATCAAACCTGAGTACAAGAGAGCTGAAGAAGAACCATCTTCTTCATAGTTTATGGGACATTGGTCTGCTAGTCCAGGCAAAGACCTTATTATCCTTTTCACTTGTTAATAATTAGATTTTATTCAGTTATAGTTGTTGAGAAAACAGTGAGCTTTTTTGCCAGTTCAATTTATTTTTATAGTCTTTGCAATAAAGTTCAATAAGAATGTCATCTTTGAGGGAAATTACATCGACACCCACATTTGTTTTCTTAATTTTTCAAGGGCTATTCTTATAGTTTCTGAAGTTACACTAACCCCCCCCAAAAAAAAAAAAAAAAAACTGTGTCACTGTAATTTGCTAGTCTTAACGTTGACAAAGCCGTCATGGCCCAATCATGTATAGGTTGTACCATGGCTTAATACAAGGGTGAACCAATAGAGAATAACTTTTTCTTTTCGTGCTCCCTCGGCCTTCATAACATGTACAACATTAAGCCCAGGGAAAAGGGGAAGGGTGATACTTTCTTTTGTTCTGGTCTAACATCAGTTCGAATGGATAACATAGAAATCCATTTTCGGATTCAAGAAACTACAAATAGAACAGCCATCTTCTATGCTAGCAAATGGTGTGTGCTTGTACCGTGATTAAGCTTGACAATTATAAACATGACTTGCTGTGGAAACACAAATTTTGCGAGTTTTGACAGTACTTAGTCAAACATGCATAATAATATGTGAGCTTACCTGAACTTGGTTAAATACGATATTTATAAGACATGACTTGTTGTCAGTTCATCATTTTTATACTTGTAAGTTTTCTCCCTCCATAGGGGTGGGGGGAGGTGGTGTTTTGAGAGTTGTAGTTTGGAATTCATTGAGTTGGTAATCAGTAGTTTGGTCAAAATGAATTTATCTGCCTTCAACCGAGAAATATCTGGTTGATTAGCAGCATATGCAAATTGCAATGCTTTTAATTCAATACAGATTCGGATTCGCTCAACTATATTTTTTCTTGACTGATCATCTATCATTAATAGATAGGGGATCCACTTGTATACAATGGTCTCCACTTGAATGCATGATAATTAATTCCTCCAAAAAAAAAATTCAATAAAAAATATATCGGAGAGAATCTAATTATATACAATACTAAAATCTCAGAAGGAATAACTTGATTTAGTAAGCTACCCAATTCAATGTCAATCCACTTGCCCAAAGAAAAGACCATTACCAACTACTGCTCCTCAATAACTAAATTAAATAGAGAAATGATATTTTCCTCACGAGCAATGCTATTGACGCCTAAAAATCTGATCTAATACACTGTGATCTTTGGATTGACTGTAGGCCCCATCAAACATTAGAATTTGGTGTTGATCCAATGATTTCTATTAAGTCACATCATTATATCAATAAATTAGATCAAATTTTTAGGTCCAAATAACATTACCCAACACGACATCTCATTGAAACGAGGCTTCACCTCTTTGCTCAAAGATAACTTTGAGAATTTTTCAATCAGCTAAACAGAGGAAAATGGTTTTTGTCCACCCAAAAACCTGCTTTGCCTATGCAAAATGGCATCACCAAAAGTGTCAAATCTTATACTTTTTTCCGATGGCAAAATTTTCAACACAAAACCATATTTGTATCCGCAAAGTTCTGACGCAAATAGTGATTGAGTTGTGCTAAACTTCCACTACTACACAGGACAAAGAAGAAAACAATCCTATAAAGAAGGGTTAATCATAAATTATAACTCAAAAGATTTCGAATCTTAATTTATATCCTTAAAAATAAAAAATTTTAATTTATACATTCAAAGATAGAAATTTATATCAATGTGTACTTCTAAATATCAAAAATCTCAATTTATACCCTCAAAGATAAAAATTTGTATCAATGTGCACCCGCAAAGATAAAAAATCTCAATTTACACCCTCAAAAATAGAAATTTGTATCAATGTGCATCCCCAAAATAAAAAATTTCAATTTGTACCCTCAAAGATAAAAATTTGTATCAATATGCACTTAAAACTAACTGTCGTCAATTTGTTGCCTGAAACTAAATTGATATATTATACCTAGATCTCTCATGTTTGTCACTTAATCATTTGGACCCATTCACAAAATAAAGAGTAATATGAAATTATAATTTTTTATTAGGATAAAATTATATTTTTTAACGGTTATAAAATCTTAATACAAATACTCTCAAACTAAAATGTCCCCCTAATTGGGCATTCAAATAATATTGCGTTGGATATAAAAAATATTATATAAATACCTACATTCTATTGGACATTCAAATGGTAAACTTGATTTTGAACTTTAGAGTATATCGGACCTACAAAATAAAGGGTAATATGAAATTATAATTTTTTTATTAGAATAAAATCATATTTTTTAACGGTTATAGTAACAGATATTAACTAAAAAAAGTTACGTGTTATACGTGCACAAACGCTATGAGATGTAAGAGTAATATTTTAAATGTGAAGAGGTCCAAATGATTAAGTGACAAACATAAGGGGATCTAGGTATAATTTATCAATTTAATTTTAGGCAGCAAACTGACGGCGGTTAGTTTTAGGTGCACATTAATACAAATTTCTATCTTTGAGAATGTAAATTAAGATTTTGGATTTTTTAGGGTGCACATTGATATAAATTCTATTTTTGAGGGTGTATATTAAAACAAATTTTTATCTTTTGAGCGTGTAAATTGAAAATTTTAATTCGAGCTGAATTTACGATTAATCCTATAAAGAATAAGCAACAGAGGAAATAATAATAATAATAATTGCCTTTTGCCTTTCCTAAGCCGACAGATCAAGTCTCATTTTTTGTTTGTTTTCCTATACTCGTTCCAAAATAGACCGCTAACTCACTATCCCAAAATAAGGAAAGTCAACATTGGCAACCTAATCAATCAATACATATCCAGTCATAATCCTATGGTTTTACCGCATTATAAAAAACTTATTTCTCCGAGACCACCACGATCAATTCAGGCAAAGACTGACGAAATAAAAACTAACACAAGCAAACTGTTAGAACATTACTTCTAATGAGCTTGAGCGCGAATTAGGTAGTAAACGCTATTGATCGAGTACAAATATGCACTGTATCAAAAAAAATTGTATGTATTAATAGTGTCCAACTGAGATGCACAATTTTAATAGAACTACTGATGCTCTGAAAAGTTCAGTAGATGAAATTGAAAGGGTCTTAGAAAGAATTGTTTTGAAATTAAAATGCTATTTAAGTTTTGGAGCACAGTTTTTTTTAATTATCACACAAGCTTTACTCCAATCTCCTTTTATAATCACCCTTCAAACTCCCCCACTAACTACCCAATCATTTTTCAAATATATTTGCATAAAATTATTTTTACCATTCAATAATTTAGTATTATTTTTTTTATCCACTTTCTTTAAATGATAAGGTGAACGAGACAAAAAAAAAAAAAAAAAACCCTAAATTTTGTAGAACTTCTGAGTATAAGTATTGTGTTACTATAGAATTCTTTTTGTGTTGAAATTTGGCCCCCCCAATAGAAATATCTCGTGACCTAACAATCTACTTATTCTTGACAATTGAAAATACTCTAAATTATATAACATGGAAAGACAATAATGTTCAAAAAAAAAAAATGGAAAGTCAATAACTGTTAAAAAAAAAAATGAAAAGTCAATAGAATAATACTCATTTTTAAATTCTTATTATTCTTTCAGGTTCACCACCTGACCTAACTCGTACAAAAATCCTAATCTCTGAAAAAACTTGAAAAACTCATTGTCCTAATCATAGATGAATTCCGCGATAAAAAAAAAAAAAAAAAAGCATCAGTCCATTTAAAATTATTTCTTTTGTTTATTTTATTTGTTTATCGGTAGTTTCATTTATATGAAGTACATTATTTTCTCTTATATTTATTCGAATTTTTATCGTCCAAAATTTTCGTGCATAATATTTGGCCCACGGAGGATAAATCTTGGCTCCGCCCCTAAAAAAGCCTTCCTTCCTCATTTTTTAATTTCTTAGAATTTAAATTTTTTTTTAATTCAAAATTTAAGACTCCCTTCGATCAAACACTATCATGTGTCATTTGTAACTACCCATCAACCCTCGATAACTAACCACTATTTTTTAAATTTTATTAAAAAAATTATTTTTTATCATCCAATTTTTTTTATAATAGTTTTATTTAACTTCTCAAATTATAAAGTAAAAATTTAATCCCAAGAATTGCATAGGGGCAGACCGCTAGTAACCAAAAAAATATAATAATTTAGAGGTGAGAGGGTTTGGGCCTTTGGGGAGCTTTCTCTCTTCAGTTCCTAAATTTTTAGAATTATCACGTGTTAAGCTAAACACTAATTTTTAAAATTTATTAAAAAAAATTACTTTTTATTACTCAATTTTTTTTATAATTAATTATTTAAAAATACTAAATAAATTTATAATATAAAACAGAGTGGACTTCAATAAATTCATTTGACAGTTTCAAATAAATTCATCTAATGATTACTAACACCTCTTTTAAAATTATTTATATTATATCGTATTTTCGGTTTCGGACACTGTTATTCCTCGTAAATAAATAAATAAGACAGGAATTATAATCTGGTGCGGCGGCTACTATATAATATAAGAATACAGAGCTGCCCAACTCTGACCTGTTCCTACTTCTCATTCCGGAGAAAAATGGACAGCTATTTCAAAGCTCAACATTGTCAACACTGTCAAAATAGGCGTGTGCTAAGCACGGCGTCGTTTACTGTCTAAGAGCATCTTCTCTTTTTCTCCCTCTTTCTAACCTCCCCTCCACCTACTCCCTCTATTTTGATTCCTTCCCTCGTCTCTCTCTCTCTCTCTCTCTACAAGGATCTCTACTATTCTGCTTTGGCATTGGCCCTTCTGAGTCCTGACTTTGCATCATCTGAAGGTATCATTATACGTTTTCCCTTTTGTATGTGTGTCCATATGTCTCTCTATGTGTGATCTACACATTTGATTTGATTTGGGTTTTCAATCTAGTTTTGGTTTATGGGTATTAGAGGCTACCTAGTAAATTGTTGTTTGATGATGCTTATGGAAAGGTTTGTCATGTGGAAGCCGCAATTTTGATCCTTTGGGTTGTTTAGATTGCTGAATTGTCGTGTGTTCGACACATTAGTTGTGTAAAAGTCTAATTGGTCTTTGTGTTGCTGTTATTCAGCGGGTCCAAGTAATTGGGATTTGTACCTTTGTAGAACTTTAGTTGAATATAAGCCATATGTTCTAGATGTTTGTATATATGCGTGTAGATTGAGCTCCTATGGCTGTGACATCTAAATTTGTCGATCTGAAGATTTGGTTTATTTGTTTGGGTTAAAAGGTTTTGGTTGAGGGAAAGATTATTCTTGCATGCCAAAAGCCATAAGTTCTCCTGAATTCATTAGATTTATTGTTTAATTTTACTTGATTGCTGAATGTGTTAGGCATATACTCTTGAGTCTTGACAATAATTGGGAAGGCTTGAAATCTTAGCTCCAGGGTCAGGAAGACAGCCCTTTGATTTTGTCATGTCTTCTGATCAAGTTTAATTTGGTGGGTACTAAATACTAAGCCAAGGTTGGATCCCAAGGTTTTCTGAATTTTGGAATTGTCAGCCCTTATTCATAGTTTAGCAAATAGATAATTATCTCCCAAATTGGGAAAAATATTCACTCATTTATTTGTTAATTTAGGCTATAAGAAGAATTTAGGCTCCATATGGTATATCTTCAGTTGGCTCTTGAAAAACATTCTGTTTGTCTTCTTACAATTGCAGCCTTGTCATGAGATTCCTTCCACAATTTATTTGAAGATACATCTTTAGGGTCCTGTTTGGTAGTTTTGGGGCACCCTTTTTTTTTCTAATATTTAATCAAAATTATTACTGCACTTCTTATTTTTGAGCTTACCTTTCTACAAATTCCTGGTTTACTTATACATCTAAAAGATACATGGGACTTTTCTTCTCTTGATGTCATAGTTTATAGATGTTAAACATTTCTACGTGACTCCAAGTCATGTCTGTTCTGCTTCTGCATTTGGGAAAAAATATACTATGTCTTGATGATCATTATGTGCCCTGACCCTTGGTTTTATCATACATCTAGTTTTGAGTATCAATATAATTAGGATTGTTAGGTGTCTCAGCTACTTGTATTGGACATGAAATCATATATGTGTTCTAATGGTTATAAATTGTATATTGGCTCTCTCACCGTTTTAGGTGTTAGCTACACTATGTTTCAGATTTTATTATCGAAACCTTTCATATTATTTTGTTTGTTTGACAAGAAAGATATAGAAATCTTGGGCTTACATTTTCCAATTCTGCTCTTTTGACACATAATGCTGTCAAGACACTGTTGTTTACACTTCTTTCCTCCCCATGCAGGTCATCTCGCCGTGAAAGTAATGGAGTGTTTCTTTAGGGACATAACTGAGCACTCTTTACCTTCTCACCAGGACATCGTAAAGTGTCCATTTTTGCGGAACATTAATGAGCCTACAAATTTTTCCTTCTCATCTGCAGCTTTTCCAATGCTGGTAAGTTGCATATTTCTTTTTGCTGAGATGCAATTGCATTTAAAAGTTTTGTTGAGCTCATCTTCTGCTTCCTTCATGGTATTTGGGTCTAGTGAGCACATGGATTGTGAGAAATTACTTGACATGCTTTCAGTTAAGAGCTTGTATACCAAATTGAATAATTAGGACTACCAAGGTTGATTTATATATTTGAATGGTCACTCCACCTATTGTCAATTGGTTTTGAGTTAGTTAGATACTATAATATAGTATCAATGGGTCTTGGGTGGTTAGTGGGTCATTTCTCTTGCCCATTTGATATTCCTGGTATGCATGGTGGTTTGTTTGTTTGTGGACCCCATGTACGAGCTTAGGCGTCACGTGAGGAAAGGTGTTAAGAGAACTTATATCCCACATCGAATAATTAGAACTACCAAGGTTAGTTTATAAACTTGAGATACCACTCTATCCATTTTCAATTGATTTTAGATTGGATGCTCTAACACTTTTCTAGTTTCCTCTATGCATTATAATTATTGAAGTATAAATAATTAAGTTACGCGCGCTTCAACAACTTAAGTTTTTGAAGCAAATGGTTTTTTATCATGGTGTCAAAGTAGGAGATCTTGTGTTCGAATCTTGCTGCCACCCTTATTATTAAAAGATTTCAATGTGCTAGGACCAAATTTTAGCCAACACGTGAGAGGGCGTGTTGAAGTATAAATACTTAAGTTACACTATTTGTTAACCTTTTGAAGTAGATGGTTGTTTGACAATAATCAAAAGTTCTCTTCCATGTCATGGAGTTTTTCAATATACAGTTCCTTGGCTCCATTTTGCCTGAGGCTGGTTTCTCACTTGCGAGCTCAAAGCAATTATGTGTTTCACCATGATGCCTGACTCAATTAAACTGGAACACATTCTTATCCTATTTATTTTTTCCCTGCTCAGGAACGTGGAGCCAAAGGCCCCATATTCGAGGATGGTCCCAATTTTGACATGGCATTCAGGCTCTTCCATGGGCAGAATGGTGTTGTGCCTCTTTCTGGGAGATCATTTTTTCATGGTGAAAAGTTGGACTCTGAACCTGCAGCACCCCAATTCAATCCTTTAGCTGCGAAAGCAGCCACCATCAGTCTCTCAGCTTTTGGATTTGGTGGACCCTTTGGGTTTGATGCATTTTCTGAGAAGTGGAAGAACCAGAAAAGAAAATCCAAATCGTCCAAGGAATCTTCTTCAAAGGTACCTGCAACCAAAGTTGCAATAAGTTTTCACTTGTCTGCATTTTGAGTCCCTACCAGTGTTCGATATTATGATCGTGTGCTGAATTTCACAAAATGGTTGGAAGGAGTTTTTAAGTATTATTAACACTAGACATACTCATGGTTTAAAGGAATTTTCAAGAAAACTCAAATTTCCCAACCTTGGAACAATGATCAAATTGGTGTTTTACCCTTCTCTTGACAGTTACTTATTTTGATCTTTCAGGGAGGAGACTCAAAGCATGAGGCAATGAGCAATGAGTGGTTTCAAACAGGAAACTGTCCGATTGCCAAGTCATATCGAGCTGTGAGTCATGTCCTGCCACTCGTAGCAAAGGCTCTTCAGCCCCCGCCTGGCATGAAAGTCAAATGCCCCCCTGCAATAGTTGCTGCTAGGGCAGCTATAGCACGAACTGCCTTTGCGAAAAACCTCCGGCCCCAATCCTTGCCAACTAAAGTACTAGTTATCGGGGTACTGGGCATGGCAGCAAATGTTCCTTTAGGTATATGGAGGGAACACACGGAAAAGTTCTCACCTTCATGGTTTGCAGCCGTCCATGCTGCCGTTCCATTTATAGGTATGCTTAGGAAGTCTGTGTTGATGCCCAAAACAGCTATGGCATTTACCATTGCAGCATCTATTCTCGGGCAGATGATTGGCTCTAGGGCGGAGCGGTATCGACTGAAAGCAGTTGCTTCTAGAAGATTGGCTCTCACAGGAACTTCTGTTAATGGGTCCAGTCAGGTAGGAGCATATGGAGTTAATGGAGGACATTGCGGCCAGATTGGTGAGTGGAACACAGTTTCTTTGCATGTTGCAGGGCCCCCTTCATCAGCTGACGTGTGTAGCTGATGTTTTTGGTCTCTTCGATTGTGTGCTACATGGTGATCCCCTGAGTTCTTACTTGTCCGTTGATCTGTTTGTTTTTTTTTTTTCTTTTTTTGTTTTGTATTTTATTTGTTCCTTGGATCTGAATTCAGAGATTGAGTGAATAAGAGAGAGACAGGGGTGACTGTATCCTTAGCAAAAATATGTCAATGACTCTTTCTATGAGAAACATAAGAACAATTTTTTCTGCAGGGTCTTCTATTTTCTGGTAAAATATGACAAAAGCTAATACGAAGAGTTGGTTCACGTAAGAGTGCACGTAGAATATCGAAGGGAGTTATTCAATTTTTGTATCACTGATTAATACACTATTAGAAACAATAAGAAAGATAATTACGAATACTACTACATGAGCTTTAAGAAAAGAAAAAAGAAAAAAAAGGTTAAAGCCCCTTAATGCGTATCAACCGGTGACTATAGCGTAGTCTTTGTTGTAACTATGAGAACTTGAAGCACTGGATATTTTAATGAAACTAAGAAAGTTTTATCAATTTCTTATTTTACTATGTTCAACTCAATGTATTCCTCCAGATGCGGATTTTTTTCCCCTGGATCCAAATTAGATGTTTGCTTTTGAATGGTTTTTGCATTGTGAGCTTAAGGATAGAAATGAAAACTCAAATATGGTTTCAAAAATTTACTAATCGATGCATCTTTTGAAAATTCACCTTTTGTTTTTCCTTGTGTGATGGGATGAGTTCACCCAATAGTAATTGGTTCCAATCCTATTATTACTTATCTATTCATTGATCCTTCCTCCTAGGGTGTTTACCGAACTCAAGAGGTAAAAATTACGGTATTGTATCTTCTTACTTGATGTTTTGTGACAGTCTATTTCTTGGTCGACCTTACCCGTTCAAGGGTAATGTTCCGGTCTACTCATTGATCCTTCCCCCTCTCTTTAGAAGTTTTTTAAGCAATTTACAAACTGTATTTCAAAGGTTTTGGCATAAAGTCAATATTTTATGAAACTACTACAAAATTAAGTCCATAAATACCATAACCATGTCTTAGTAAGAAGAAAAACAAAAAGGAAAGGTTAGAATCCATTAGGGTTACTCGGTTGGAAAAACCTTAAGATTGTTATGTTGAGGTCTCAAATTTGAGTTTTATCACAAACATACTCGATGATTTATAAATAATTGTGTATATTTCAAATAATTACAAATTTAAATAGTGTCGATTGGGAGTTTTGCTATGCCCTTATTTCTGACTTCTCTTTGTTCTCTTATGAATTTTTTTGTCGTGAACTATTTTAGATAATAATAATTATAGGACTTTTGTATATACAAAAAATTATAGGACTTTTTTATAAAACATCGTTGAGGGGAAAAAAGTTTATAAGACTTTTTTTTTGTTGATATTGTTACTAATAGGTTTCTCAATTGTGTTGGATGAAGTAGGATCGTGTCGCATTTTAGTAGTTCATGTTAACAACACTTTAACTATACATGATTCGTTTATTAATTCTTCTTTAACGAAACATGTAATTTCGAGTTTGTGTGATGTATCAATTATATATAATTAATATATAAAAGAGTCGTATTATATATTTTTTTGATTGGTTTCACTAAACTTTAGTCTATTTATTAATCATGTGTCCACTAGATTACGAAACGGGGCTTAAAAAAATTCAAATCATATCATATTTTGGGTTTTTGATACCCCTACCTACTAAACAGAAACCATTTCGATTCTATAACTGCAAGCAGGGCAGAGAAGAAATTTTGAAAATTTTTAGGGTTAATTTAAAGTTATAATAAAAATTAAATTTTCTAATAACTTGCTCCCTCTCATTTTTTTTAATGAACTAAATATTTAGATTCAAAGTTCACTCATTCAGATTTAATTTCACAATTTTTTTTTATCTTTAGTTATCTCTATTCTTTCTAAAATAACTTATTAAATCAATTCTTCTATGAATTCGATTATTAAGACATATATAGATTAATATTTTTGATCAATTATCCAAGTTCGAATATTCTAAGATTTTAGATTTTGATGTAAATTTGATCTAATTATTCAATAATATATATATATATATTATATTGAATTTTTGATAAAATTCATAATATTTAATAGATTTGAATATGTATTACAAAAATAAAATAAGTTGAATAATTAGATTATATTCAATATAAAATTTTTCATGTGAATAAGTCGAAATTTTATCATTTACAAATCCACCTAGTGATCTATTAAAATAATATTTTCTATGAAAATCGTCTTTATTCTAGTATTTTAAATAGTCAAATTCTATTTTTTCATGTGTATTTATATAGAAAATCTTTGAAAGTAAAAGAAATAATGTGAAGAATTATTATTATTGTATAAAAGGGGTTAGATTAGAAATATGCTTTTTTTTTTATAAAAAATAAAATTTTTAAAAAATAATTATAATGAATTTTGATAATTATTGTCTAGCGTTTAACTTATGGTTGCCCCGGAAAGAGACTCCTGCAAACACCGGCCGAAATGTCTGACGCTGCAGAGAACTGTGAGACTTCAACTACGACGCCGCGCACATTCGGAGAGGCCTGGCCCGAGTTAAACGATGGCCTAAATTATACAGACTCAGTCCGGCCCTCCGATTCTGGTCCTCTCTCTCTCTCTCCCTCTACATGTATATATATATATGTATGATCGTTAGTCGTTATATATATATATATATATATATATATGTATGATCGTTAGTCGTTATTTTACAGGTTCGACACTGATTGAATTTTACTCCATCAAACACAAGAGTTCAGCTCCTTTACAGGGGTAAGCATGTTTTTTTTTGGATCAAGAAAATAACAGGGTAAGCATGTTCAAATCCACTTTATTTGCCCATGTTTATATTGTGTGTGTGTTGATGGTACTGAATGCTTGGCAGTTGGTTGCAGAGAATAGAAAATGGGCAGGTTAGTTTCTCAAAGGATCCCTAAAATTTCCTTTCTTTTCCTTTTTTTGGGTTTTGCAATTTTTTTAATGTGTAATTCTCAAGGTGAAAGTTGGTGTCTTGTGTAGATAACAGTTGATGGTAGAGTTGTTACTGATCCAAACACAATTATCAGGTTTTAACCGAGATTATGTGTCTTTATCATGTTAGTGGTGTTCGTTTGATTGAGATTCTAGCAGCGCTTTTCTTATGGGAATTGGATATGATAGGGCGTGTTCAGAGCTAGTGTATCACCGGCTTCCCTGGAATGAGCCGGATGCACCCTACTCGCTGGAAGTTCTATTTGAAGATGATCATTTGGTAATTAACTTGAAAGGACCCTTTTCTTTCCCTTATTTGAGTGAACCTTGCTTGTTTCTATAAATGTTTGCATTTGAGATGTGATGATTAAATTCAACAAAAAAAAGATGTGATAATTGATACAAGGTTAATACATATGATGGTTCATGTCTCTGAATGGTCATCTTTCATTTGAAAGATGCTGAATGTCTGCATTTTAATTAGATGTAAGGACTCATTTGAGAAGTTTGTTATAAACATATGTCATGATTTTGTTAAACTTGTCAAAAACGTTACTTAATCGTTTATAGTCAATGTCACAATCTAGGAAGCAAGGGTATGATACCATACAAATATAGAGATAAGATAAAACTTGAAAAGTTAGGATATAAATATGCCCAGGATAGGTGTGTGATTGAATGTATTTTTTTTTACAACTATCTAACAATTTGAGAAAAAATATAATTTCTAAGAAAATCGTTAACAATAATATAAAAGTAATTAATTTTTACTTTCAAGAAAGTATTGATTGTCTCATTAAGGGATGTCCAAAAGTGAGTATGACTAATTAAAGAAATAAGAACCAAGATTTAACTAGTTGGGTTTGCTTAAAAAATTTTGTTGCCAGGAGATAAGGTATAATTAACACATTTTGTGGTCTTTTGACATGTGATAGTCGATAATACTTAAGAAATACCGCTGGATTTTTTTTTTAAATTGTGGGGATTTTTCTTTTTGTGTTGCATTATATGTGCTTCAAGAGTAAAATATAAGAATTAAAATGAAAAACTATATATATATTTCTTTGACATTGCACTTTCATCTGCAAAGCACGCATTGTGGATCCGTATTAGCGAAGTATTTAAATATTTTATTATTATTTAATACATATGATCTGTATCTGACCTATCCAACAAGTATCGTATCCGATACGAATAAGTCAACCTTAATAAATTATTTGTGCTTCATAGGTCACCATATATTTGCCTTCAATTATATGTCAGATGCCTTGTACTTGTGCCATTTAAGATGTATAGATGCCTACTGTAGGAATATAGGACTCACATATAAGCAAAAGACAGAGTGAAGAGGATCTCCAATATTTGATCTTTTCTTCTGCAAGGGATAGAACTTGCATATAATAAACAAACAAAGAGCAAAGAAGTTGGCCATTATATGATCGTCTGGAATGACTAAGCACTTAGGTCATATCTGTTTGTGCCAATTTTGTGAGGGCTAGATGCTAGTTCATGTGTAGTTGTGTAATGTGTTCAGATTGCTCTGAATAAGCCTTCTGGTCTTCAAGTTCTACCTGGAGGACTGTTCCAGCAGCGGACTGTTCTGACACAACTCCAGTGGCGTGCAAGCAGACAGAGTTCTTCACTAATGCACCAAGAAACACACCCACACCCCGTTCCGGTTCATCGCCTTGGAAGGGGCACATCAGGTTTGCCCTCATTGGTGCTTGAAATTTTGTTTCCCAACAGTATGAACAAGCTTTATGCTCTCAGAATGTGTGGTTTAAATAGCGCAGTTGAAAATGTTACTCCAAATACATATGTATTTAAGTCTTCAGAGAATGATGGAAAATGTAAAAAGAATGATTAATAACAAAGGTAAGACGTATATAATAACTGAAGGCACGACTCTGGGTAGGGTGGCATGCAGTCAAGCTTTATGTCTACACTCCAGAACTATTGGAAAGTTCTTGCTAAGCTGCAAGTCACATAGCTTCAATGCTAGATGATTTTTTATTTGTTTGAACCTAATTCTAGATGATATTAGGGTATAAATATCACATGATAATTACCATTTGCTACCTTGCCTTCTTTCAGCTGTGCCGTCCTATATTTGTGCTGATTGTTTAGTATTAAAGAATAATGTGTCTTCTTACATAACACTATATAAATTGCAACCTTACATTTTCTGTGGATTCTAGGAATATTACTTTGTGCAAAATCGAAGCTTGCAAAAACTCGCCTTGCAGCATATTTTGCTGATGGGACTTCAGTTGTTGGAAGCAACAGGTGATGGAAGAAAGCATTGTGTTCTTTTTCTTTTGTTTTTTGTTTCTTCCTTCTTGGTTGATAAATGAGGAAAGTAAAGCTCTTATCAGAAAAATAAGTGAGGGAAAAAAGTAGCATGTTTCATCTTAGTTTTAGCAGCTCCACAATTTGCTTGTATGCACTCATGGGAGACCTGGAATAACAAATAATCATCATGAATTGATTGCCTAATAGGTGTTTTTTCTTTGAAGCTGATTCTTAGAGACATTGAGATTAGAAGATTAAGAAAGCAGAGACTTGTAAGAGGCTGAAATTTAAACAAGGGAGAATATAAGATGATAAAACATACTCAGAATGGTTACTGGACAAGGTTAGTCCTTTGCTGATAAAGAAATCGGGTTGCTCACCTGCTAGCACGTTTCAGCCTGAGTGTGGTCTTTCCACGGATAGCAAGTATTCTTTTTATCAAGGACTCTGAAGAATTGTAACTTTTTAGGCTCTACTCCTGGCAAAAATGTTTGTCCCCAGCCATAGGATCTATAAATTCGTGAGAATGGTGTGGGAAATTGAAAGAAATGCTTACGTAGATGACAGATTCCTAGGACCACCGGGCAGGGTCTCTCCACTGAGTGGCCCAGGCTTGGCAGAGTGGCTCCAGCTCATCCCAATCCTGCTGTGCAACCTTTCCTTCATGTGAGGCTGCCCCAGGCAGCAATTTCCCAAGATGATCTTCCAGTCCCAGTCCAAACAATGACATTAGTTGAATCACTTTCGATTGTTATACAACTGATTAGCTTGAACCTGCATGTCATTTTCGTTGGAAGAGATACAATCTCTAGCTTGGAAGCCTCTCCTGTCTTCCCTTGTCTAAAAGGTGAAATGATATCTGTGACGCGATCATTTGATGGATTGCAATCTCCATTTGACTTTGACACCCAGGGGAGAATTCTCTGGATAAATTATGTGGGCCCTCAATGGCATGGATCCACAACTGATGAACATCATTTCTTGAAATCTGGAAAGCCGGAAAGGGCAATAATGGTGTCCAAAGGCTTACTGCAAAAGACTTTGTATATAGAGGCAGTTTCAATTCTGTTTTCCTCTGTCAACAAAGTAGTTTGCTTGAAATATGCTGCAGAATTTCAAACAACTTTTCAATTTGTCCACCAATCTTGCTAGGACCAGCTTGGGCAATAAGAAAAAACCCGTGCCTTTTAGATACCTCTGAATATCAATGTGTTGCCAAAACATTAGCGAGAGCAATCCATTTCCCAGCGAGTTATGTTCATGCTGGGGATAACATGTCCCTCCAGTCCAACACAATTGCGTTTTACTAAATGCTTGCTAATAGCATGCTTGCTACACTTGTGTTAAGAATTTAGTAGTTACTCCGGAGGCATTTCTTCAATGTATAAAGGTCTTTGCTAATGAGGCATGCAACCTTTACATGTACAGATATTCCGATGCATGTCCCTGCAAAAGAAGAAAAATTTCAAAGATTTATCGGGCTCTAGCGAGTGGGATACTTCGTGAGGATGAGGTAACTTCATTGCCCACCATGGTTGTTCTTTCTATTTCATTTCTATTGCTTCTTGGGCTTCTGGCATTGTAATTATTTCCTTTATTTTCGTCTATGGATTTTGTGATGGCCTTCTTAAACCATCTTCACTTTATGCTGATTCACATTGGATATTAAAGTGTTTTCCTTTTTTCCATGTGAAGTTTAGAAATATTTATAGCAACTTTGTATCACAGGTTGTCATTATGCAGCCAATTGGGACTGTGCGATATCCTGGAGTGGCCAAAGGGTTGTATATTGCTACTTCCTCAGGTTTTACATAGTTTGTCATCCCATACTTTTTGTGCTCTGGCAGGTTTGCCAGGAAGTGTTCCAACTACGTTATTTCGCTTGTCTTGCCATGTTTTGAGAAAATATTGTCTCGGGTGAATGGGCTGTTTTATTATGAGCTGCCATACTTGACTTTACTGACCAATCATTGTTCTAAATGTGTCTGAAAGTTTAATTTTTGTTCTAACCAGGGAAACCAGCTTTGAGCAAAGTTGACGTCCTTGAGAGGGATGTACAAGGTAACTACACATTGGTTCAGGTATGCTACTAAAGTGACGTGAAATTATAGTTTATGTACATAATGCTCATCAGTTTTTTTTTTTTTTATATTTTTTATAATAAAGTGACTGTTATTTATAGTTTATTTAACATTTTGCTTTGATAACATTTTTTTCTTTTTTCTAGTCCCTTTTTTTCTTCTTCTTTGTTAGAGATGATCATGTTATTATGCGCAATAGCATCCGGGGGTTCCTCATTTCAATTTCTCTTTAAAAAACTAAGTGGTGGAGTCCTGTAGTAGCAACATTTATAGGCTGCCAACCTGAATACCATTTTATAAAAGAATTTTTTGGGTTATTTGAAATCACTTTAGCCATGATGACTGAAATATACTATGAAAGCAGAAAAATAGCAGTATCTGTCTACCAGCAGAAAATTGACAAACAGAATTTGAAAAATTGATAGATGGGACTGTATTTTTTGACTTTTCGCTTTCTGTTTGAGCATATAATAGATGTTCTTTTGGCACTTTAAATTTGTCTGTATTATGGTATTACCTGTACCTCACAGGAGCTTACAAAATTGTATGGAAACACCCTGCCTCCTTTCTTTTCAGTTGATCAATATAGTTAGCTCCTTCTGGGAAGTAGGTTCTATTTTTTGGTCCTGTTGGGGTGTGGTCCTCCCTTTCTTTCGTTGCATTAAGGATTACTTTGAATAAGGTCTTAATGGATTTCTTTCAAAAGAATTCATGTTTAACCAAGAAAGGTAAGGGTCCAAAGGAGTTTAATGAAAGGAAGAACAGGAATCAAAGGGGAATGACTGACCAATTGAAAGGGACAGGAAGACAGGATACGGGGACAGGAACTACCAACTAGCTTATAGGAAAGAAGAGAGCAAGACATCAAACCGGGATATGTCAGGTGCTGATTGTTGTTAAAGTAGGTTAAGGATTAGATAAAATTTGGATTCTTAGTTTAAAGGGACCTTCATGTCAAATGATTTAAACCAGAAAGACAATTTTGAGATATTGTATCCGTTCGGCTGAATTTCTTTGGATTGTCTGGAAAAATATCATTTGGCAATAGTCAGAGGTTTCAATTTGCAGGGAATTGGGATTTCTGACGGGTAGGCCATACAATGTGGATATGTATGAAACAAGAAAATTAGTTAGATCAAAGAACTGTTGGTTTCATGAAACTTTTCTAATGGTTGAAAACCACTGTCTTAGACATAATAAGGGGAATCTAACCTACTTGCACAGTTAGAATACGATTCCTATTCCATATTTGAGCTGACTTTTAAAGAGGATTTGAATCCATTGTCAAAGACTTTTGAAAGGTAGATTTGCATATGTTGGGTGCATCCAGAAGAGTATTGTCAACATCCTAGATAAAATCCTATAATATCGATAACTCAAGAGACTTGATTTGTTCAACTTCAATTGTGTAAACTGAAATGCAATGTGGATAAGGAAAAGTGCCAAACATGGATATACTGCTGGGAATTACAAAGTCATAGAAAAAGCACTGGTAGGCAATCGGCCTGCATATTGGAGGTTGTCTAGGTGAAACATCAGGTCACAGCAACCAAAGGAAGTTTATAATTTGTTGTAGGCAAACTTTTTCCCTCTCTCTCTCTCTCTGTGTTGTTAATGTTTTATTTTATATCCCTCCCGTGTCAATGTGGTTAACAGGTTGAGATTCAATCAGGAAGGCCACACCAAATTCGCATTCATCTTTCTTTCATAGGGCATCCACTGATAGGTAAACTTTAAAGGTTAACATCTTATGATATCTTTATGTTGAATAGAACACATATTTATGTTTCATGAAAAGGAGTTAAAATTGGTAAGAAACCCGAAAGTTCCACCTGCCTTGATACAAAGAGCTTTACTTCTTGGTGACTATCCTTTTAGTAAAATGTCAGACTCATGCTGACCAATATTGGCAGGCGGCAAAAAAAATTGTTGGTCTAGTTGTTAAAGACGTGCCATTTCTTTGTGATGCTCTTCCTTAGGCTTCATAAAATAGCTAAAGCATTGTTCCCATGTTAGCATTATTTATAACATACATGGTAAAAAAGTTATTTCGTTATAAAAAATATCCTAGCAAACAAATCGAATGACGGAACACACATTGTTGAGGGGAAGAGGAAGAACTCTCCTAACAAAAGCAATATCTAGTTGTGCATCATATTTGATCTTGTTCTTGACAAGGAACAGTTACTGACATCAAAGAAACATAAGAACTGGTCACTGAATTGATTTGATTTTTTGAATTCTTTATTCAATTATAACCTATATGAAATGTGAAATTCTTGAGTAGTCTACTTCCCCTCGAATGATGAATCTCTTAATTCTTAATTCAAATTAAAGGTGTACGCTAGAATTCACAATATAGGGGATTTATTTGTCTATATATCGTTCCATTTGATCTTTTAGGTCCCGACTTCACCTCGGACAGTTATGCCACGATGCCTTTAAAGCCTATATGCGATGGATAGACTCATGTAACCATGAAATCACCACAACCTACTTAGTTCTCTTGCTCCAGACTAGCGAGGCCCATGAGTGAGATCCATATTGGTAATGCTTTTGCAGTGCCACCAAATACATTCAAATGGAGAAAAAGTAAGATATAAAAACTTTCGGTTGAACAAAGCATACCCAAGACATATTATGATGACGGAATAGAATTCATATGGTCAAACCCAATTGTTGGTACAAGGCTTTGTTGAGGTGAGTTGTCACATTACATGCAATTGGCTTTTAATTTTGACTTCTTCCAGAAATGGGTGATATGGATATTCTCGATAAACCAGAAAGGGTGGTGGAAAGATCATTGTGTGGAGAATACTCTCTTACAAGCTATAAAACTGTAATTGAGGTCAAACCACACTAAAAGATGGGATCTAGGCCTCAATATCATTTGTTTCCAGAACCTAGAGGTTAAGATATGTGATTTTACGTTTAGTAGGGGCATGTGTTGGTGGGAACAATAAGGTAACAAAGGACCAAAGTTTGGGCTGTTCTCAGATTATGAATACAATCTGTTAAGAGTAACCGTTAAAGCATCCACCTCAAAATCGATTGGCAATAAATGGGGAGGCTCACCCAAGGCTCAGATACTTTGTTTGGAAGGTTTTACAATGCTGATGTTGGACAAATGCTAACACTACCCCTCGCATGCAACCCCACTCGCATAGGGAGAGACAACTAAACGGAACATAATATGGCAATGTACTTGAATAAAGAGAAAAATACGCCACTGAATTATGAGGAGCCATAACCATTGAGACCTGACACAAGGGCCACCCGAAGCCCATCTCTACCTCATCTTAAAAAATCCAACTCATTGCTAACTGGTAATGGGTGAAGATATACTCTGGGCAGTGCCACATCCGTTCACCTTCTGAGCAGATTGTTCAGCAAATTTCATCATTTATTTTTCCATTTTTTTTTACCTAACTTTCAATGACATAGAATTATGTATCGACTCCTCAATATACGAACTATATTCCATATTAATTAATGTTCATGGTGCATTGACTTAATGATACAAGTGATCAATTTCTTTATACTTGTTCCTGAAACATAAAATGTTCCAGCTGTTTTGGTTTCACTGTTTTTTGCATTTCTTGAATTAGAAGTGGAATATTTACTGGTTTTTCATGTCAGTGTTAAGAGTTTGATAATTATTCTTCGCCATTTGGCAGGTGATCCTCTCTATGTTACTGGTGGACAACCTAAGTGTTTTGACCCTGAATTTGTAGATGAAAGTTTTGCTCAAGATGGGTACAAAATTGTGGTGTTGATCTTTGGTTTTTTCTTTCCATTTTTTCTATCAGTTAACTTCTTTCATGCTTAATGTGCACACTTATTCCATAAGCACATGAAGTTACTAGAAAACAAAAAGTTTTACCTGATTAGCTTCTCGTGATGTTGAGTAATTCTATGGAGATTGACTTCTTATTCTCACATACATAAATTGTTGAATACTAATATCAAGAAGATATATGTACCCTCTTCGGTGTTATGGTTATCAATTATGCTGAAGTATATGACAGGATTTGAAAGTCTAGCACTAAGGCTGTGAGTCCCATGCCTTTCCACATCCTTTTCTAGTTCTGGAGGAAATGCCTACTAGCATGATCTTGAGTTCCCTTACTATTAGACTAAGTTTTTAAGAGACTTGAGACTTCTTATGACTTTGAACCTCCTATGGGAAGCAGTATTTTCCGTATTAACATGACCAGTCCACACCAGGTCAAATAATGAAACCAGGCCTATGTATCTGAAGTCCAGAAAAGAGGAACAAAATAAAACCAGGCCTATGTATCTGAAGCTCAGAAAAGAGGAACAAAATTTTGGATACCTCTGCGTAGTGAGCTGTTATGATATCTGAAGCAATTTTTTCATTTTCATTATGATGTCCTGTAGGGATTTTGTTTGTTTACTCAACAGAATCATTCCACCTTGGATAATTTTTAGTTCGTTTTTAGCAATCTCAATTCTTTGATGCAAGTTCCCTGTGGCAGTTGATTTCATTTCATTTTTTGTTCAGAGGATATCAAAGACCTGTCAATCCTGTTCCTGGAGATTGTGGGTACCACCTGCATGCACATCAAGTAGTCCTTTCTCACCCAATCACCAACGAAGTAAGTACACAACATTTACCCCGTATTACTATGTTATTCATCAGTGCATTGAGGGAGTAAACTTCTCCTCTGCTATAAAATGCTGTTGGAAGAAACATAGTTGCAAGTATATTATAAATTACATACAAAGGCATCTATAATGCAAGAAATAGGAACAGGGGATAATTATTATCCTACACTAATGTCTTGAAAATATTATTGAACTAGTACATATATATAACACTATACAGACTACATGACCAAGTTGGTTGCTGATATTTTAGTGCAAAATAGAATGTCACACACTCTAGCATGCAAGTTTTAAGGAAAGAATTAATGTGGAGACCTAGCATGTTAAGTTCTAAAAATGTCTCATTACTATCACTGAAACTTATTTTTGATGGCTTTTGGACTAGGACTGATTTCTTTTCACGACTTAGGAAGCCATGAGTTAGAAGTTCATATTTGTTAAACCTGATATCACAGTATAGTACGAATGCCAAGGCTACAAAGGTCATCTGCTACCTGCTCCCACCTGGTGGGGTGGGGGCTAGACTAGTTGCAAGTATTGTTTTTGTTCTTTGTTTTGCAAAGATCAAAGAAAAAAGCGCCGACTGAAACAAAGTAAAATGCTATGTTCCATAAAATAAAACAAATATTTGATGTTTCTTACATGTATGCAAACAATATCAGTTAAAAAATGGTGTGTTCTCGTTATAGACACGGTGATTGATGTTCTTTTGAACTATAAAATTCAGTTGATTTATGGACATTCTGTTTACTGACTTTTTAATACAACTGTTGATGTGTATCATTTTGTGACTTCTGTCAATCAAAGAAAATCTCCAATACTGTGCTTTTTTGGTCGTTTATAAACAATATATGAAATAAATGAATTTAAAAGTTAGCTTTCTAGTTAAAATCATAGAGACAATATTTGTTCAATAGCGACAAAAGAACGATTAGGAAAAGATCCCTTTTTATTTTTCTAAGTCACTGCAAACCTGAATTTTGTTTACACAGAATTAGAAATTAGCTCATGGTATTGTAGATGAACATTTCAAACAAATTCATTTGTCCGTCCTGGCCCTTTTTCCGGGAAAAAAATGATACATCAGATGCCTCCCCGCCATGGTAATGCTGTGTTAAACAGCCACCTTGACTTGTCAAGTTCTATCCAACAGAAATATTTCCATTGCTTGTGAATTGCAAACACCCTTGCAATTTGCAGTAACATGTGTGGCCGTTGACACTAGTAGTTACAGTGATGAATTTGTCTAAATCAGTTCTAACATCTATCTAAATGTGTCACATATTTTCTTTTAATTTGGCAGGAGATCACACTTACTGCACCTCTGCCATCTATTCTCCGAACTCGAGACGAGACCGAAGCAATCAAATAGCACATTGGAAATGACATCAAAAGGCCAGTTTTTTTTGTGCTGTTTTTTTTCTTTTTATAATTATCTATAGTAGGATTACAGTAACATGTTAGTCCGCTTTGAAACAATACTTATTTTTTGCCTTCCAGTCGATCCTTTTATTTGGGTTTTTTTTTCAGGTTGACATTCTATCATTGTTCGTTGTTCTAACTATTCCTATGAGCCCATCAAGTGTACCTAGTAACAAGAGAGTTTGTTTTGTTTCAACTGAGAATTTATCAACCTGTTCGCCTTTCCTGATGTTACATGTTTCACACATCTAACTGTGTTCCCCTACCAACTTACCAGCTTCTACATAACCACAAGTGGGGTGCGTGGGAGGTATGATCATATTAGAGCATGTGTGGAAGTAGTCTTTACGACCAACACAGTTCAAACACACCCCTTGCCCCAGGGCGAGGAGGGCCTGAGGGGTTGTCGGTCCAACTCCCACCCTTCCAACCGGGCCATTAAAATTCCCCCTACCCTGAAAAATATGAAATTTCCAAAAAAAAAATTTAAAACAAAAGGAAAAAAAGAGGGAAATTATGACCAATTAGATTGAACATAATATATGAGGCACTAACGGGCTAGTACTTGCAAGAAACCAAAAACTCATGTAAAGGCACTTGTTAGATTCTCTAAACATTCAAGCGAAAACTTTGAGCGTTTTCAAACAACACGATGAATGTACAGGGAAGGGACTACAACACACCACCGTAAAAACCCATGAATAAAACAAGGAGGACGATCCGGAAAAGAATCAATGGATCAGAAGTTGAAATTCTGCCTCCTCCCAAACTATAACAGATTATTTCTGTGTTCCCACCAAATACAACAAATACAGAGCTGCTGCTGCTGCAATACTACAAACACCTAACACCCTTGTGACCAAAAAGACTGGATTCGAGAAACCGTCCATTGCCCTATTGCTGCTGAATTGAAGCTACAACAAAAGTTATTATACAAGGCGACCTTCTTAAAGACGCTTTCCCACCCCTACTACCTGCCTATGTCCCTCTTACAACTCCATGAATCTTCTCTGGTGATGGTCCCGGCCTGTGCGCTGTACTGTTCAGCTTTAGCGTAGTGCATTTTAATGGCCGCCACAGGGTCTGAAACACCAGTGCACGATCCCCCCACAATGACCCCCCCTCCTCTCCCCCCAACATTGATCCCCATCAATCCCCTCGCTTGCTGTTGAACACTTGCAATTGCCTCAAACCCATTCCGTCTCTGCATCTCACAGAATAATAAGTCTTCTTGCTGTTTCATGTCTACTCTGAAAGGCTGCACTCTGCTACCATCTCGGCTCTTGTACACCTGATAATCAACCATTCCATTGGTGGTGCTACTTATTTCTGTTGTCGGAGGAAGAACCGAGACACCTTTCGAAGTGCTTTCACTACTTTTCACAACATTGCGTAATGGCTGCTGCTCACTTTTGGATAAGGATGTTGCATAATTACCAAAGGCAGTAGGATATTTAGCAAGTAAAATAGCAGAGTCGGGTAAAGAAGCGAACCCTGTCCGTATTCTGTTCCCATCCCAGAAACCATAGCTCCTCATCGGAAGATTCTCAACACCCACATAATCAATGCGGTTAACCTTAGCTAGAGCAGAATTTCCATCTGTACAATGATTGCCAGTGAACTTCAGGTTGAAGGACTTTCCACTTGATTCACGAAGTCGAGCACACTTGTCTTCATTATCATTTGTACTCGAATTTGGTTTCTGCTGAGATAAGGGGTGCGTGAGAATCTGACCAAAAAGTTTCACATCACCATTCCTGCTTGGTTTCTCCACATCTGATGAACTTCGGAATGGGGGTCTTGGAATATCCCTACTCTGTTCTTGGGACTGGAATGGAAGCTCAGCCATAGAACCGTTATGCTTTGAGCTGCTACATTTTTTAAGGTAGCAATCCTGCTCTAAATACTGATAGGAATGGAAATTTGTATCCAACTTTGAGATGCTTTTAAGTGACGCTGGTTTCATGCAACTGATATCCCCATCCCTTTCTTTCTTAGCTGACACCGATAATGGATAACCACAAAGAATCTGGGAGGAGGGCTCAACATGGTGCAACAATGATCGCCCGGACAAATGCTGGTGATAATCATCCACACACTCAGATTTCTGACCCTGCTGATCAGCAGTTTTTCTCAAATCAAGCGTTGATAAGGTATCATTATTAAGGGTCTTCTCATATTGAATTGCAGTGGAATCTTGGGGCACAGAATTCAAAGCCACAAATTTATCCTGCTGCAACAAGGTGATGCAAGGTTTTGGTGCAGAATCAAACTCCAAGTCAATCTTATGCTGATATTCCGATTTAGCACCAAATCCCAGAGAGGAAAGTGAATCAGCAGCAAGATTGGAACAATCTCTAGCAGACACAGGCACAGAATCTCGTATGGAGCAATTTGAGTCACTAACACAACATGTATTAGCACCATCATTTGCAACTTGTTTATCATTAAAGCTTCCTTCACCTAATAGAGGTTCGCAGGAATGCTCAGCAGAAACCCCACCTACAGGTTTAGCCTCAAACTCGGTACCTGATCTAGTAGGCAGGCCATTGTCATTTGGCACTCCAAGAAATACAGGTTTCTCTGAAGTGCTCTGCCCAATAACTATATCTCGTCCAGCTTCTGAATTTGAGGGCATAACAACACTTTCCTGGTCCTGCATCGCCACAGGATCACAATAAACACCATTTTTAATATCGCCGTCACCATCAAGGCCCAGCTCCAGCTTATCATCCACCAGGCAGTCATCAGGAACCAAATTTTCTGACCTAATCCCAGTATCCTTAGAATCCATTTCTATTGGCCCATTGTTTTCCTCTGCTCGGTTTATGTCAGGCGGCAAATTCATGATCTCCGCAGGATCAGATGCACAATGGTTGGTCTTCAAATCTGAGAATGGCGCCTCATCCATCTTAGAACCCGATTTCTCGCAGCATATAACTGGGCCAGTCTCTACAACGCAAGCATCTTCTGCGTCACTTCCACCTCCATTACCTTCGTCATTGACCGGTGTTCCTTGATTGCCAGGTTCATGATGAATCATATCCAATTCAAGGCACTTCCGACCCTTGCTAAAAAATACCTTGCACTGATCCCTAGATCTTGTTCTGACACATCTTGAGATCTTGACAAAATCCTTACCATAGGATGCCACTGCCTGTATAAACATAGATTTCTCCTCATCAGTCCAATCAGCAGAATCCATCTCACCACAACTCTCATCTGAGCAAGTCTCACCATCAACATTCTGTGTTGCCTCGGGGGTTAGAGGCTGTTTCATCGAAGAACCCATTTTTAGGCACTTCCACTCCTGGTAGCACTCTCCAGGGTCAACAGAACTTGTAATGCAAGAACTCATAGCATCTGAGGAAAGTGAACCACAGATGCCAGCCAGTACATCAGCAGCTACAGCTTCTCTCTCATTATCAAAGACATCAGGACTACTAGACCTTCCCAATAGGCCATCATTACCTCTTGGTGCCTTACAATCTCTAGATGGCGCAAAAAAGTACCTAGAGGCACATTTTTTCTGAATATAAGTGCCATCATCAACATTAGCTGCAATTGCTGAAGCTGCACCCAGCATATCAAGGGAAGCAGCATTAATCTCACGACTCCATCTTTTCCCCGATGTAACCAAGTAGGTATTAGCACAATAAGACTTCCCTTGCTTTGCAAACTCTGGCTTCTTCTTTGCCTTCTCGAAACAATCTGACTTGTGGTTTTTATAGTAAAACTCAATGCAATCTGCAGTTGTCTTGTGGTCAAGAAAAGAAGCAATCTTTCTGAAGTCTTTCCCAAAGGTAGCAAGCTTGTCAATAAATATTTCCCTCTCTTCTGGCATCCAAGGGATGATCATAGACCTTTCCTTCTCAACAGCACAGGGATCTTCCACTAAGCCATTACTTGAAATGAAACTTGAAATCATCTTCTCCTTCTTGTCCAAGATCAAGGTTGGCATCTTAAACGTATTCCTGTAGATCTTGACCTGGGAATCTGAAAGCAACTTGCTTGTAAAATTGATTATTTCTGTGGTGGGGACCAGTTTCAAATTTCCAGCTGCAAAGACAATTGGTAAAAAATTATTCCATGACCAGCATCCTACACTGCCTAGGTTTGGGAAACAGAAATATAATATAAACTACAAGAAAATGGTCTCCTGTACAAATGTACACAAATGCATACCCAGAACAAGAAGCTAACTAAAATTACTAATATACTGGCAAAGCTCTAGTAACAGGAAGCAGAGCTAACTAAGCTACCAACATAATCGCTTCAAGAAACCCAATCCTGCTTTCAGATATGATGGTGTCCCCTCAAACATGCAACCATCTAACCAGCTACAAAATGGAAAAACCAACAGCAGTTGAAAGCAAAATCACGAGAATTGTCCAACATAAAAGATAGCCCAAACAATAAATTTTTCGTCTTCATTTAGCTTAAGCATAATCTTCTTTCAACTCAATTTCAACACCTTTTCCACTGTCCTGAACATGATATGCATATTGCACCATGGTTATCTCCAAAAGAATAATTGAATGAGTGAAGTCTCACTGAAGGCAAGTGAACAATGAACCTAGATTATGTGAATACCCTCGATAATTTAAACATTGCACACCCAGGTCAATCCTAAATGGAAACCGTCACAAAGATGATAAACAATTCAGAGAGAAGATCGCCTCAATCATCATGAATGGCACCATCCGACAAGAATCTTGATCTAGATTTCATCCATCATTTTTTCTTTTTTTTTTCATTATTACACTTTATTTTTTTGGGTTCACTGTTTGATGATAATTCCAAACTGCAATAGAAGGAAAAAGGGCAAGTTGCTAAACTATCCTTTAGGACAAAAGAAGAATCCTCGTTGAATAAGCAACAACCATCAGTTTCACTAAAACTCGGCTATTGGGTCCATTCTACTCCAGGAATCTAAAAAAATAAATAAAATAAAAAAATTCATATTAGCACCCTCGTATGCAATTCAAGTGCTACGCTAACTTCACTTTCCTCGCAAAAGAATAATAAACCTCCATGCAGCACCAGAGCACCGGTCACAAAATCAAAACAATGCCACATAGAAGGTAACACTAAAGTCCTTATATGAAAGACACTGACATGCAATTATGCATTAAGCCAGAGAGAATGATGATAAAATAGATTGAGATACACTGGCAGTAAACTGTTGGATATCTTCAAGCACCCCGCTGCAAGGATGCATAAATAAACAATCCAGGTGCAAAGAATTTTCAGAAGTCACATGAGATGCTGTAATATAGGAAACATGATCCCCCCAAAGCTAGGATCATTAGCTAGCCAATGAGCCTTATACTTATCTAAGTTAATGACATATTATCAGCATGGGATGTCCTGCCCAAACACATCATACACTTGCACCAGTATTACCAAAAAAAAAAAAAATGCACAGTTCAGGATGATAAAACAATGACTAAACATTTTTGAAAAACAGGAGCAACAGTAAGATAACCAGCACATGGAAAAAAAAAACCAGGAAGACATGTTGATAAAGAAGGAATACATCTATATGGGAAGCCAACCACAGGCATCATGATAAAGGTTCCCATTCGGAGAAAAAGTCACCCATTCATAACTTACAAATCATAATCAGATATAGGCACATGTTGTCACCTAAATAAGTTCAAAGGCGACAGAATCAGAAGTTTTTTTGGGTACATGATAGGATCAGAAGTTACTTAGAGCAAAAACATTAGTAATGTTCTAAATTCAGTCGGCACCAATAATTAATGGGGGGGAAACAAGCACGCTAACATAGCAAAAATAACCAACATATGCTGAAATGTCCATACCAAAATATCATTTCTTTATTCAAGTAGAGAAGCTTCAGTTTATCATTTATAATTACTAATGAATTCAGAACATTGCACATGTCGCTCTGTATAAGCACCAGCACCATATTGTAACTATGTTAAGCTATTTAGAAGAATCCACATAATTGGAACACGTCTTTTTAAGCTAGAAATCTTTTGGCTGCAATTACTATTGGTAAAGCAAAAGAAGAAGCCATAACTCTGATTAAAGAATTTTAGAAGGATCTGCACAGGAATGGAACCTCCCATACTGTTCAAGCTATAAAGGTTTTTGAGTTAAATTTCTACTTTGTAAAAGACAAAAAAATTACAGATCACGTGTAATTCCAGCTAGAAGGAAAGCAATTTAGCTCAAGATATCATAATCACATGGTATTTCAGAAATACTTTTCCCATTTGCCTAATTCATCTTGCAAAATGCCCCTATAACTATTAAGCCAATTGGGAGAAAATCTTCAAGACAGTCTGTAGGTAGGCACGTCAGCATGTGTATTAACAGCAGTCAAAGTTCAACAAACCTCATTCCAAACATCATCTGAAGACAAACTTCCACAGTTAATTTACTACCCTTCTGGTCTAACCCTAACAAAAAGGGTAACAAATCCCATGCAAACAAGAAATACACACTTCAAAATAAACACAAGAACAAGAAGCTGCAAGTTGAGGAGAAAAAAAAAGGAATGAAGAGAACTCTAATCCCAAATTTGCTTACCGGGATATGAAAACCGAGAACGAATGGAGGAACGATGCTTTGTATAGCCTGTATGCACAGGACGCAAGCTCAGATCAAACTTCTTCTGAGACTTGGCACGATATTTTCTAATTGAAAGCAAGCGCACATCTTCCTTCCAGAGATGTTGGAAAGCCCTCCACTTGAGGGCCAAAACTCTCTCCTTAAATCTTAAAAAACGCTTTCTCATTACAAATTTTTCCTTGATCAAGAAACCATTTTGCGAGCAATAGAGACTGTCAACTCCAGAAATATCAATATGGCACTGGTTGGTTGGCAATAACTTATTAAATACTTCTGAAGCTCTGTCTGCAAAATGTTTGTTGGAAGCAAATATTAAATCATATAAAAAATCTTCTCTATCACAGAAAGAACTACCATCAGTAGAAAGAGTAGCCAAACTATTGTTTGGTGTCAGCTGAGAACCATCCCTACAAGCAGAGTCAAACCCTGTCTTGTCCTCACTTTGATCATACACTGAACATTTGACTTCCAGGTTGCAAGATCTCGTTGTATCCATTCCCGAACATTCACCACCATCTCTCACTCTATTAGACAGAGATACTGCTTTTTGCAAAGAAAGTGGTTCAAAAAATTTTGACGTGACAGTGCCTGGACTATCAATATCATCATCCTTGACTTCAACAAGTTCTTTTTCAGGGGCATTCAGTGGCCTCTCCATATGCATATCTTCAGAAGAATCAATTTGCAACGATGCAGGTCTAGGTATTAAATTAGAGGCAGCACCTAGTTCTTCACAAGGTTTTGCATGGTACTCCATTTGCAAAGCTGGACAAGGGCAGTTATTCCCAGGTTCAGAAGAAAATGACTTTAGTTCATTTTCAAGCAAATCAATCTCAGATTCAGTCATCTCTATTGCCTTCAAAATATCACCTTTCAATACCAACAACTGGTTCATGGCAGTAGATCTCACACAACCACAATCCACCAAGCTTGAATCATCAGATTGCAGCAATTCCCTAATTGAAGAGCCCATATTAGTTTTCAAATTTGTGACTGAGCTAAGGTCCAAATTCTCCAAGTTAAAAGGTAATCCCTCAGAGTGATCCTGAGGCACAAGACCAGGTGATCCACTTAAAACAGTAGAATCATTGTACACATTTATCCCTTTGACAAATCTGTTATCCTCCAGACCTGTTATAATAAGCAAATGATTCAAAATAAGATGCATTTCTCATATAATTAATTGCCCACATGGGGAAGCATAACATGATTCAAGAAGTTTTTTGTTAAAACAACGTAGATGACATACTAACAAATAACAAGATATTTACCAATTGCGCAAAACATCATCTAGAAACCATTATCATTAGATTTGACTAGTTAAACATACCATAAACACCAACTTAGTTTACCTTTTCTAGGTAAAAATGTTTGAAACAGATAAACACACAAACTTTCCCAATATAAACTTTAACACGAGAAAAAATGTTGCCAGAATGACTCCTAAGGCATATTAGCATGTCATACTTTAACTTATGTTAAGACCATAGTCAACATTCTCAAGGAGGAGAGACAATTTTGACACCAGCATTTGTGCAACTTTCCTAATCATAGAAGGATAAAGGAAAATTAAAAAACCTAATTGCAAAGGAGGTCATGAAAACCAAAGTGCCAAGCCACCATGAAGACCATAAAATGTAGACAAAATTTTATTAGTTTCAAAAGATTAAAAAAGGAAGAAACAGCAGAAAAGAAAAAACTAAATGATTGTAGAATATTTGAACAAGCTTCGACACAACAAATGTGAAAAATCAAGTCAAATCTTTGATCATTATTTGTCCCATAATAATTAATTACTAAGTAGATGTGGGCAAGTTTATCAACGATTTAAGAAAATATAAATGGTTAAAAACTGGATTAATACAATTCTTCAAGTGAAAAATGGAATGCAATAACACAGGAAACATGAACGTTTTCCTGTAAAAAGACCATTTAAGCAGTAAAAGATCCTTTGGGAAGATGGTTTGCCAATCCACAAATGATTAGAATACATCTATTTGACAAGCCAATGTCTCTTCACCAAAGAACTATTTACATTCACTTGTTTCTACAGCTGCGGCTTTGTTTATATGGCACATTGACAGCAAAACTTGACAGTGCAATTAAAAAAGCTGCCAGATCTCTTGAGCAGAAGCTAAAAACTCACAGATCAAAGATGAGACACTTGAATACAAATTCCTCAGATAATTAAACTTATTGGTTATTTTTTGACAACTTCAATTAACAAGTTTTACGGACAGGGGCTTCCTTTATAAATAGTACGGTACATCTCAATCACACTCTCTGACTTTTGGATTTGTTCTCGGATCATTCCCTGACATACCAAATATGGGCTGGGGACCCAATCAGAATTTTTAAGAGATATTTACCTTGATCTGACTAGTCAAATCTGGTCAAAATTAGTAAAAATAAGAAATAACTAGTACTCTATATCTATTAAAAGAACAGGACCCAAATCATCAGAACCACCATCTTATCCTTTGTCTCTCCCCCTCCACCACCACCACCACCATCTCCCCTACCACAGCAACCACCCTGTTTTAACACCCTACCACCTCCTCCCCCCTTCCCCCTTACCCAAAGCCAACACCACACTGCAATACCATGAGACCAGGAAAAGATTCAATCTCAACTATGGCAGTTGCACCTTTGTTTAACAAATCGATCCCATTGTCACCAAATGGAATTACTTAAATTGGTAGGTGTCAATGTTACTCGATGTGGGTTGCATTGCTTGAAAGCATCAGTTGCAAAGTTGCAAGGCTGTTGGGTTGCTGGAATTGCAGTGTGCATATTTGATTGTGCATGTGTGTGGTGATGACACAGTGCACATTGGGTGTGAGGTTGATTTCTTCAGATAGTATAGAATGATTGTTCTTCTCACACAGTATAATTGAAGTGTCAGATTCCATTAGTTCCAAAACAAGTACTAGGATTCTTTGTAAGTTGCCACACATTTTAGAATAGGGCATTGCCAATCACTCCCATAGTATCAAATGTCAACCCAAAGCAATATCGACAACTCTGGTGCATATTGATGCTAGCTACGTAATCCCAAAACCAAAAGAAAGTACAAAAAAAAAAAAACAGAGGAGATAGCCCACTCCAAGGGGATGGACCTAGACAAGCTTGCATCGGGAGAAATTCCGTACGTATGAGAAGGAGGAGGAGGAGCTGCCAAGAAAAGGGCAGGGCTGGTCACCCACGGTAATCATGTGTAAATTAGTTTTGATTTGGATTAAAGAACCATATAGGAGGAGTTACAGGTTCGGTAGGGGTGATGAGTTGCTGAATAAAGGAGGCTGGGAGCAAAAAAGGGAGGTGGGTGGAGGGTTGTTGTACAGGAAGACAGAAGGGTTGAGGATGATTGGGTAAAAAGTCATTTTAATTCTCAATATGAATCATTTTGGAGAAGGGGTTTAACTATAATCCAATAAGAGCAAGGGTGTATTTGGGGTTTTAAGCAAAAATTTTAATGGTGCCATCTGGCAAATTTTACTGGTGTCATCCAGCAAATTTTACTGGTGTCATCTGCAACGGAGGGCATCAAATTGCTACAACTTCTCAAAAGTTTGTGGCCTCTGAGCCAATAATCAAAAATCATGGGATGGGAAACCAGCGTTTTGTTTAAATGTTGTGTAAATGTCAGGGGATGTCAATGATGTTTGCCCTGAATGTTATTTAGAAGAATATACCAAAACAAATACTTAACACTCATCAGTCATCACACCAGTGAAGTCACCAAGACGAAAACCATTTTAGCTCAAATTTAGAAAAAAAAGTCGTGATTTATAACTAAAAAGCATTTAAACTTCATAATTTTTTTTCTCTTTTAAAAACACGTACAATTTTTCCAATTTCATAAAAGCTCTAAAACACTAGTTCACCAAGTTATCAACTGCAATATAAAAAGGTGAAAAGCATATCAGGGTTTGTTTAGAGAAGTGTTACACCTTTCAAGCTAATCAAGCACCTCTCTTATTTCTCATGAATACAAAGTTCAAGTACACCAAAATTAGTGAAAGATGCAACTATAAGTTTGAAGAGTAAAGGAGACTCGGGAGTTCATATTTCAAGCTAATCAAGCACCTACCTTATATCTCATGACTACAAAAATTCAAGAACACAAAATTAGTTAAAGATGCAATTACAATATTGAAGAGTCAAAAGAGACCTAAGAGTTTATAATCTAGAGAGTTAGGACTGTCAAGGATGGTTTAAATTTACTTGTACTTTCAAAATACAGCTACTCATTCCTGCTTAATTTTGGAATTAATAATCCCATCCGTCAAACAATTAAATTCTTTTTATTAATACTTACCTCTGAAGCATGAATAGTCTCAAGAATGTGACGTATCTGTATCGGACACATGTCCGACACTCTTCTTTGGTGGTGTATCCAACACTTACTTAGATCGTGTCTATTAATGAACAATAAACATGTTTTGACAAGTGATTAACAAAACTTAAAAATTTGACTAATAAGTACCGTATAATATGAGAGAACATATTATTACAAAAATTGAACATATTAAAGTTGTCCTCAAAATATAATACAAAAGCAAAGAATTGAATAAAAAAATTTTGAGAAAATAAGAGCAATCATTTAAATTATATTATTTATGTTTGCTACACATATATAAAAAAATTGATAATTATTGACTATTATCATATTAGTGTAAAAATTCACACTAGATGACTACACATAACATTTATTTATCATAAAGTACTAATTTTTTTATGAATAATATGTCATTAACACTATAGTTTGGAGAAATAATATAATTTTACTAGTCATAATCCGTGCCTGAAGGCACAATAAAATATAAAATTCGAACACCCAAAAAATCGATCCCACTATATTAAATTTTTTCAACATATGTATATTATTGTATAAGAATAATATTTGAAATACAAATTAATCAAATATTCAATGATGAAACATATGATAGAAATGAGTAATTTGAGGTTTTTAGAAAAAATATATAAACGATTAAACATGTGATAAAAATGAGTGATGTGATGTTTTTAAAGGAAAAAATATGTAGAGGATAAAAATTCAAGTTGTTATGTGTTTTATTATATAGATATATAAAACACAATTATCGGTAACATATCCCCAACATGTTTGTGCCCTATTCATTTGAGAAATACTATGTCTACGTGTCTATTTCGTGTTGCATCCATGACCCATGTATGTGCCCGTACTTCTTAGATACTTACCATGGCTAGAAGAGTCCTATATTTCATGGTGTATATTTTAAAGTTTTTATTGACCATAAAACATCTTGAATAATGACCCACATTTTTCCAGTCAAAATCAACTAACTTTTGAAAATTATCTGCACTAATATAACTTTTTCAGTTTGAAAATACACTTGAAAATATGATTAACAATTTCGGCCAATTCATTATTAATGAGAAATGCAACTTGAACTGCTTGAAGGAGGAACCAAAAGCCCCTATATTTCATAGGTAAAAAGATGTCTACCGTGTGAAGAGACTTTTATTCCACATTGAAAGATAAGGACCACCAAATGTTGATTTACTTAGTTGGGGAGTCTCTCGGCCATTGCCAATTAATTTTGAATATAATGCTTTAATATTGCATCACAAAGTTCTTGGGTTGCTAATTAAAAAGTTTCTCACACATTTGAATCCCCCAAGGTGGTTATCAATTTTTCCCAGTTCGGTCAGTAAGCCGAAGTGCAAGCCCTAATTCCACGAGGGAATAGGTCAAGCACATTTGTACCTTGCATTAGAAATATTAGAACAGCACAAGAGTGTTTTACATCATTGACGGGCATCTCCCCAGTCAATTGGTTTTGGGTAGGATGCTCCTAACATATGAATTGTTTGGCTTTGGCCCAAAATTTTCTTCTTTACCATACAGAAAAGACATAAAATTCCAAGAATACAAACATACTATACAACTACTCTTAGATTTGAATCCATAGTTGATGATAGAAAACTTTCCAGGTTACCTCATTTAGTGGATTGTAGGGCCTTTGACTTGTCTTTTAAAGGATACCTACCCACTCTAGTACCAATGTCTTCGGGTAAATTGGGTTCAAGGACCATACTTCATCATAGATAGGCATAATAGAAGTAAGGGAATGAGCAATCCTAAAGGATAGAAAACATGGCTTAGCTCTTATTATCTACTAGGTATAATCTCCAAGAATCAAGTCAAAACAAAAAACCAAACTTCTCTTATTCTTGAGAATATAGAATTTCTAGCTTGATATCTGAGGTAGCGAATATGCATTAGAGAAAATTTCTTACAAAACTTCATTTGACGTTGAGACAAATGCAAACACGAGATGGGGGAGAATTATGCAACTGAAATTGAGAAAAAAATGCAGGGAAATGAACAAGAGGAAAAGATAACAAGTGAGGTAGAATCATGTACCATCTACCACAAGAATCTAAAATTCAGTACAGGCAGAGCTGATTGCATCTTATTGTAGCTACAGCAATTTAAATTGCTGTTATCTTTCTTCACCCACTATGACATTTAGGTAACTTTTCTATTCAGAGAAGATGGGAGACCATTACCAAGTTCTCGTATATGTACACAAGAGGAAAATAATTTTTTGGAAATTCTGAGTGTTCCTTCACCTGAAAGATAACTTTATGGAAGCATTACATTTAATAACAATTTGAGTATATCATATTCAGTTGTCATACTCATGCAGTGCATCACATATGGCTACACGTGGCAACAAATAACTGAATTCCTAAACAGGAAACTCAGGTCCTGTTAGAACTTTGAATGCTGTGGATAATTCCAACCATGCAAGGAGAACAATTCATCTTGGGAAAAAACACTAAACTAAACTGTGCATTTTACCTGGCAAGGAACTGCACGCAACTGAGGAAGAAGAAGCAGGAGATGCACAGTCTGAAAAACCTGACGCTCTGGGGCTTTTATCAGCCAGATTTGAGACTTGAGTGTACACAGGCTCTGTATTACTGCTAGTGACCACACCATTTTTGATTGCCTCATCAACAGGGACTTCAACTTTCTTCTTCTCATACTTTGCCAACCCCTCACCCCATCCAAGACGTGGCTTCTTCCGAGAACTTGTCTCTTCGGCTGGAGCGGCAGATGTCACAGAGGCAGCAGCATCACCGGACGGAGACAATATTGGTGTGACATTCCCGAGCTTTACCTCAGCCTTTGTTTCACTGGAATCCACTCCCACGCTCTTGGGACTACTTGAATGGCTGAAACCAGAACCCCGCGAGGACAAGCTTCCAGAACGGGTCCATTTCAAATGCTTCCAACCAATCGAACCCAGAGAGTCCTCTCTCTCAAATCTCTGGCCTGTGCCCAAGCCATTGACACCACCATTCTTATCATGCTGTTCTTTAAGGTTTTGCTGATCCCATGAGTTTACAAAGCTAGAATGAGGAGGATGAAAGCTGTTGTCCACTGACCTCTGATCATTCACAGCAGACGGCCTGTCCAGAGACTCCAGACCAAGCGGAGATGCAGGATTTTCCCAATATTGACCTTTCCATTCCTTCTGGCTAAAGGACTCCCTCCTATCCCTCCAATTTGTGCCATATTTTCCATCCCCACAAGGCCCAGATGGCCGGTCATCTTCCAGATTCTTGTTGTTGGACGGAGCCGGCAGCAACCGATGTCTAGGTTCTTCAGAATACAGGTACCAGCCACCCTGCTTACCATGACCTTCAGCAGAAAAAATTCAAGAAAAAAAGGCGCAAGAAAAAAAAAACAAAAAAAATCACCACATGAAAAAACATATTGCCAGAAAATCATAAAATAACAGTCCCAAATCTCAAATTGACAAACCCAGTCAATAGAAGCCCCTCCCCCCCCTCCCAAAAAAAAAACCACAAAAAAAAAAAACTACACCCAGGAAAAAAATAAAGATCTACACAATAACCATGAACATATCAACACCAAAAAGGGATATCCACGACCAACGCATTAGATCTGTGTCAAAAGTGTCCATGTATGATGTGTGTGTGCAGACGGATTGCAAAGAAGAATGAGATTCACACACAACTTGCAAAGAAGACTGTGATATAAAGAAGGATTAGCCTTCCGGGGGGGAAACAAGATACAAAACGGGGTCAGCTATCCTCATCTCAACATCTTGATTTAAAACCCAAGATATTGGACCAATTAGTGAGGAAATTTGTTCAAACACGAGGTGAGATATGTTTTATCCATGCCCTTGAGACAAATTGTTGCAAATGACGCGAAAAGGTAAAATAATGTTTCTACATACATGAGTGGTCTGTAAAGCACAAAGATAAAAAACCAGCCGATTTCTTTTAAAAAAAAAAAAAGAACTCAAAACTCACCAGTCGGTCTGTTGAATTCGTTGGATCCCCAGCGAGAGGGGCCATGGTGCGAAGACTCTCTCCATCTGGAAACGATCCCTACGGAGTCCGAAGACCTCTCGTGCTTCCTCTCCTTGAAGAAATCCTTCCGATCCCAAGACAATGGCTCCGGCGGCATGAAATTACTCCTCTCAATCGCATCTGCCACTACGCCCCCACACGCAACCTACAACCTTAAAAACTAACACAATCCACAACCTAAAAAACTAAGTGTTCGATTCTCAAATAACCCTTAAATTAACACCAACGAATCGAGAAATCAGAGATTTCTAGGGTTCCCAAGAAACCAGATACAAAAACACGGGAAGCTTTGTCTTTGTTTGCCCTGGTTGGATTAGGGTTTCGAGTTCATGACGATGAAGAAGAACTGTTCGTTCGCCACTCGTTGAGCTCTCTCTCTCTCTCTCTCTCTCTCTCTCTCTGTGTGCTAGACAGTGAGAACGTGAGCCGATAAAAGGGACAACCGGACAAACTACAAAGAGAGCAAAGAAGACTTGATGAGAGAGAGAAAGATTGCTACGTATCTGTGTCTGTGTCTCAACGGCGCCATTAAACTGCATTGTATTCTTCTTTCGCGTCCGCTGAATTATTATTTATTAAATTTTTAAAAGGGTGAATTTCACTTTGTACCCTGTAATATTTAGTAATTCCCATTTTACACTCTTAAATAATATATTTCTCATATTGCACCACAAATGTATTAAAAATATTGTAGTGTAGCCCCTCTGTAAGCTTCCATTAGTGTTACTCATTCTGTCAATGTTAATGGGTGATTTTTAATCGAATAAGTGACGAAAGCTAATAGAATGACCACATTTTTATACTTTTAATACATTAATGATTTGTTTGAATTTTTTTTTTTTGGAGGGATTGGATTAGGTTTGTAAAGCCTTTTCAAACTCAGCCTCAAAGATTTGTACATAAGATTCAAACAAAAATCTTATTAAATCTTATATTTGATATATGACATAAATATATGTAGGATTCATGAATTTATTTCAAATCATATTACTCAATTGACTAAAATGTTCATTACTAAGTGAATATAACAATGATTTTTTGTCTGACCAAAAAAGAAAACATAATTTTTTGGGTAAAGTAATTTTTTTTATCTATAAATCTTATCTCTTACTTTTGAAATACACCCCTCCATGAGTTTCACCAAAGTCCCATGCATGGGTTTTAATTTACTATTCATTGCAGACCGAGAACGGATCCGAATTTATTCACCTTATAAATCTCGAGACTCAAATCCTAAACCAAGTTCGGGGTTAAAAGTTACATTGAACTATTTTAACAAAACTCACCATTGAAATCCCATCCAAAACCACATACTAAACATGTCCTAGGGTGTAACATAAAAAATCTAATTTTTAAAAGCATAAAATATAAAATCTTAAATTTTTGGAGGTATAAAATATAATTTCCCCAATTATAAAATAAGACATTTATTGTTCTGTTTTTTTTTCCATCCTCTTCTTTTTCCAGTTTCTTTTTTTACTGTTTTCTTTAGGGTTCATACTCCATTGTGTTCTCATTGTTATTCCGTAAATGCCCCTGGTCAGGCTGTGAAGTTGCAGTAAAGGGCATGAGTCCCTTTCACCTACTTTTTCAACCCCTTTTTGGTATTTACGGACTGGGTTTGACCTGATTACATTAAATGGTAAGTGTGTTTTAAAATTTGAATTTAGTGAATTTTGTTCTTATCTTAGAACATTTTTAGTCCTTACTCAATTTTAGATTTATAAATTTGAATTTTGAATATAAAGTATTGAAAAATTATCTCTAATTCTTTAGACAAACACGTATCAAATTAATAAAAATTTAAACTTAAACTCAAATAAAGAGAAATTTAAATTCTTTATCCAAAAATTTAGCAATAAGAATTATAACCCAAAACTCTCATTTTGTGATAAGGAGCAGAAGGTAAAATGTTTTCTCTCTTTATTTTCTATGCTTCCCTTGTCATCGCCATCACCCATAACAACCACCCATAATGAGAATTTTTTAAAGATTGCATTTGATTTAATTTTTTAAAATAAAAATTCATCTCATCAATAAACTTTATAAAATGGACTTTTCAAGATAAACTTTCAAAAAATGTTTGAGGAAAAAATTACACAACCGGTGACAATATCAAATTTGAATTGAATGAGAAGAACTACAAAACGAGCAAACTGTTAAAGACCGAGATGTACCAGTCGGAGGTACTTGGATATTTAAATCAATGAGAGTAGTGATAGTTCGCATTGGGTTAAGCATTACCAAGCATTTATAGTGTCAAATGATGCCCTTTCTTTCCTTCATTTTTTTTTGTTTTTTTGTGCTATAAAGGGAATCTTACAGCATGTTTGGTTTGAAGAAAAATGGGGTGGATGAAAAAAATTTTCATTGTTTGGCATCAAAGGAAAGAATGATGGAAAGAAAAATTGAAGGGAGGACTTTTCCCTCCTGCCCACAATTTGCTTTCCCCCAAAAAATGAGCGAAAATAAGAAAAAGACATAACAATTTGACTTTTAAAGGATAATTTTACTTTTTTACCCTTTGTATAATATATACACTAATCTCGTATAAAAATAAAATAGTAAATTATGTGTGTATATTATTGACTCTCATTCCATTTTTTCATCTGTACCATACAAAAAAAATTAATCATTTTTATTTTCCATCCATCCAACCAAACACAAAGAAAAAAAGTGTATCATTCCTACATTCCTTACTTAGATAATAAAAAAATGTATCCATCCTACTTTACATCTCTCATACTTTTCATCATTCCTACTAAATAGAGTATTAGTTACCTGGGTTCCCTAATAAAACTAATACTAGAAATGTCTGCCTTCAAAAGAAACAGCATACAAACAGGTGGCTAGTCAAGATTGACGAGCAATTCTCCTTGTTTCTCGTCCAGATTGGCTAGACAGTCAACACACTAATTTACATCCCTAAATGTGTGCTTCAGCAAGAAGTTGTTGGAGCTGATGATATGCTTGCACTCTTCTATCAAATCCTTGAAAGGATGGTTTCCTGATGTGTTATCTGTCAATAGGTTGAGGGCTTCAAAGGAGTCCATCTCTAGGATACATCTCCCTCCTCTGTCTCTAAAATGATGCCCTTTCTGCTAGGGTTTCCACTATTGAGTATACTAAGTGGCACACCTATTTGTCTAGCTAAGTTTTTCTTAATTGGTATTGGAATATTTTTAGCTTCCTTTCTGATTTTTCGACTATTTAGGTCACATATAATGCTTATCTTCAACTTAGGCAACTTCCTTATCGGTTTAACAACGCCTTTAATTTCTCAGGTTAGGCTTACTATCGCCTTTAATATAGGTTAAGTCTGAAAAAACCCCAACTGTTAGCTCTACTCGGTCTTGACTATAGCTCTGTTAGGCTAATAAATCGGTCATTCTAACCATGCACTTCTACTATTTGCTTGATTTATTGTCACATCGGTTTGGTTGACAAGCTTTAGCCTTCATAGCAAAAAACATCTTACTTTGTCCATGTGAGCCTTTGTCATGTGTTTTAGAACACCTGTCCTTATTAACTGATTCAATCATACACAGTCATTTCATGCCCTTCAAAAAATATTAATTATTTGATAATGGTGTATTTTGAAAGTTCTTTTAGATTAAGAAGTGAATGTATATATAAAGTGTGTTTGATATCAACATCATAAAAAGTGTGAATATTATACATATTGGTGGGGCGTGGTCTGTCAAAACCAAAAGCAGACACGTGACATATCTTGTCAATAATTGTAGAAGTGACTTGTGATCGATAGAATTTACTCGGTGTTGCCATGAACACCAATGAAGGGACTTTTGGGGAATTTCACGTCGTGAGATGCTAACCTCGACATCATTACAAAAAGAGCACTAGAATCTCCCTAGTGTTACCATGAATGCTGAAAAGGGACCTTCTCAGGTTAGACTGAAGATTGTTGAGACCGAAAAGGTCAAGGTACCGACGAAGAATAAGCCAATGGCCTAAGAAATAACTGACTTCACACGTCTACCACGTCAATTGACGCATTAGAAGACAACTGACTTTGCATTGGAAACACCCACTTGGGAATAAACGAATGAATGTCTTACGAGGAACTGTGTTTGATTGTCAGATGACGTGGGTTCTTTATCGCATGTTTTCAGATCTAGCAAGATAGTACATTGCAACAAATCATAACAGAGGTCTTTAAGGATTTCATTAATTCTCTTCATGAACATACGACAAACGACTCAGAAGTGTTTAATACTTGGAGGGCAAGCATAGGGAGAGTATTGATTCATGGGTGCACGATGTGATGCCGAGTGTTTATCGCTGCAGAGCATGCTGTTTGGCGTCAAATCTCACAATAAATGCTTGGCATGAGTATTAATGTTCAATGAGGATCCGAATGTCGAGGGATTAATGCCATTAATACATGCCGGATTGACATGCGTACAAAGGATTGGACATCGAGGTCAAAGGGGTGTCTTTCTTGATGCCCAGTCACCTAATTAGGTCAAAGAAACATCCACATTGTCTTAGGAGTAAGCAAATCAGGGCCCTCCTCATCCACCAGGAAAAGTGTAAATAACACTCCTAAGCAAAAATAGAAAGTACGCACATACAGTCTAGCACTTAGCATTGTGCTTCCTTCCCTTATTAGAAACTGACTTAAAACAGTGGAAGGGAATCGTCAAAAACACCTCTGGCCTCCCTTCTAATCCTTCTTTGTGATTCTCATGTCTTCGTCATCTCCAAGTTTGAGAGCAACTTTTGAGTGTCAGCTAACGTGCCACTATCTCACTATTATGCAAGAAATCACTGGCACACTTACATAACAATACTACCCCGTAACCTTGATGTTCGAGAATCAACCAAGTTTAGTGACACAACCTCTAAAACCAAGTAATATTTGACCAGGGTAGAATGTGGCAGTTTGAATTAGAAGTAGTATTTATTTATGCAGATACACAATGTATAAGAAAAATCTTGAATTTGTACGTTCAAACACTTGTTTGCACTTTATTTTCATTTTCTTTTGTAATTTTTTTTCCATTTTGTTGGAAAGTTGTGCGTATATTGAAAAATTATGACATGGAGAGAATGTTACTATATTCAACCCGTGTTGGTCAACAATGACCCCAAACATGATGTCTAGATATAATTAGGTTAACATGTAGAGTGTTTAGGCAGCAAATTT